TTTTATTACAGGGAATGAACATATTTCAATCAAACATTCTCAGAACATTTTTATTCGTTCAGTTTTGTAGTGCAGTAGTTTTTTGCTAGGATTTTTTCCCAATAGTTATATTTTTTATTCAGGCTATTTTTTTTCTTCAAGTGATTTTTAGTGAAATTATATAATTGAAATAACCAGCAGCTCTGCAAATGCAAACTCCAAAACAAGGCAATCAAAATGAAACACAGTGGATCATGCCCATTCAAAAATTACAATTCTACAATAAGTTATTATATGTGTACCATACACTAGCACTATAATAATAAGTCTCTACAATAAACTTAATAATACAAAGTTATTTAATGTCACAAAGGAGAGCTACACCTCTCATCACCCAGTGGTCTGGATTTTGAGTGGTTTTTAAATAGAGTGCGGTAATAAAAGTTAGATCAGTACGACGGGGTTTCTTATACACAGGACACACGTATAGTTTAGGATCCTTTGCCCCTTTGGTGTTAATGGCATATACATGAATAATTGGCATGGTGACATAAAGCACTTTAGGGGTGGGCTCAGCAAGCTTGGAGTTCTTACGATCCCAACCAGCTCCATCCATAAATAGGCCCTGTATGTACACGCCTTCTTGAGGAGGGGCAGTCACATCTTCTTTATTCATTCGAGTCACATCATTGTGGAGAACTACACTGTCAAGTGCCCAGCCTTTGTGTGCTCTAGCAACCTATGAAAAAACAATTAACAATGCTATACTTGTTAATGCTGGTAGCAGTAAAGTATTAAATATCGGTGGCTAGTCGTTGCTTGTTGCAAAATGCTGACCTCTTGTCTCATAGCTGTCAGAAAACCCTGTGGATTAAAGAAACCAGTCATCCAGAAGAGTGTGGGGCGGCCTGTAAAGATCCATGACCTGAACTGTGTGTCTCGTTCCAGGAGTTCAGTAAACCAGAAACCAATGGTTGTTGATTCCCATGAGACCTGTTATCCAAACAATAAATAAACAAATAAATAAACACAGTGTTTAAAACATGCCTTTTTCCAAAGTGGAGGCACTTTAGCATCATACATAGAGTCCAGGGTATTACGCAAATTCTATAATAAATAATAATAATACAATACCACGAGTAGTTTTTAAAATGAAAGACTTACCTCACTCATGATGATTGTTCCATCAATGGCCAACTGGAGGTCCTGGAGAGTGCTCCTTACTAAACCAATGACTCTCTGCATACGATCAATCTCTTGTCTCAGGAATATGTTCATGGGAGCTATTGAGCCCATTTTCTGAAGCCTAGACTTCACCTATACACAATTAGAAATATACATGATAGTAACAATACTCTTCGACAAAAAAATAATAAATAAAATATACTTCATGAGGTATGTAGTCGTCAGGGAGTTTCTCCAGCATTTCTCCAGCCTGCCTACGTACGACTGACTCTCTTGTCTCTCCTCCTCCACTGCTGCTGTCCTTGGGCTGGATCTCAAGTATAGTGTCAAGGCAGGCCTTTGCAGTGTTACTCTGATACCTATGCAACGTAAGGTTTCAAATAAACACTCAATGCATTAAAATTAGGTGCTTCCCGTCTGTTACATACGTTATGTCTGCGTTAGGATGCATTCCAAATATCTCTGGTGTGTCTATTAGCGGCAGCTTCTCAATGAAGTCAAGATAGTCCTTGACAGTCTTAAGGACAGCGATCTGATATCCCTTGTAGAACATGAACGAGGTCTGGAACATGTGCTCGCCAAACCATACCTTTAAAACAAATATTCTATAACGCAACTGTATTTTATTTTCTCCATTTTATAATTTCTCTCTGGCACATATACACAATCAGTGTATAGATTATTAGTGTACCTTTGCATAAGTGTTCAACAGACGTTTGTCAAAGTCGTCAGTGACTCTTCCTCCGTACTGTATCTCACCAACCATATACCGTATAGCACTCCATGATGGACCCTAAAAATATCATAAAATACAGTAATTTATCTCTCCCTCTCTCTTGTCCCCCAATCATGTCAATCAGTCCCTTTTTTTCAATATCTTCTTCCTCTTACCTTCTTAATGTCCATGTCGTCAAGAAGGTTTTGTATATATTGGGTGCATGCGTTGAAATCAGACTGATTGAACTCATAAGGTATGTTCCAGCCAAGCGGACCAAACTTCCTCCTCTCCTGGACTGTAGTGTGAAGGAAAGCAATAGCATACTGCAACGGCTTCCACTGCATGAGGTTGCTGTAGTCAAGATGCTCCTGTTAGATAAAAATGATTTATTATTAACATGCAGTACAGAATCATGCACAAATAATTATTCCTTTTAAATATTCATTATAAAGTAGAGAGATAACTATTATTGTTACCTGAGTCATGCTAGAATATGTTCTCTTGAGTCCAGCCTTTACTCCCTGGGGAGGCTCAAACGTGTACTTGATAGAAATCTGAAGGAGGTTAATAGGGAACTTGAGATGTATTTCGGTTGTCATCCACAGCCGAAAGGTCTCGTGGACTGACTGTGTCTCAACTATAGTGTTGAGTAGCTCATCCATGAAATCCAATGCCAAGTGGCCATTCTGTAATAATACCCAACCACCCTGAGGATTCAAAAAAGGATAAATATACTAGAAGGAAAAGATATAGTATCACTGACCTGAGTCTGGCATTGTTGGAGGAGTCGTCTGGCATGTACTTCCTGTCCCTGACCCATTGATATGGTATGACAAGCTGTGAAATGAATTAATGATACAGTAAAGTTTGATATAAGGAATACATATGTTGTACAACAGGGCAGGGTTCCTACAAAGTATGCTAAGTGAGCTAAACAGTGGGCTTCACGAGCTGATAAGTGCATACATGTAGATTCTTGAGCAACTTTAAAAATTCATAAAAAATCTAAATTTGATCGGAATCAGCTGAAACTTTCTACACAACATAAGAACATGTATATGCATCAGAAAAAATTATAAAAATGAAAAAATCTCTCCTAGTCATTTTTACCGAAATTCAACATGTGACCCTGTACTATAGTACAGGGACTTTGGTCTGATTTTTTAGTAACTTAAAAAATTCGTAAAAAATTTAATTTTGATTGGAACCAGTTCAAACTTTCTACACAAAATAAGAACATGTATATGCATTAGAAAAAAATTATAAAAATAGAAAATTTTTTCCTAGTCAATTTGTCAAATCCTGCTCGTGACCCTGTACTGTAGTACAGGGACTTTGGTCTAATTTTTAAGCAGCTTAAAAATTCCTTTTTTTCTACACAACATACATGTGTAAGTACATGTACATGTATAACTGAACACTATGCCAAAATCCTGTGGAAAACCCAGCAGTAGGGCTGAGGATAATAGCAGTGCAATTTGTCAATTGTTACTGAAACTTATTTCCAGAAACATGACCAATTTTTATTGCTCTTTTAACTGACCTAGTTGGTATTTCTTAGCAAGCCCATCAACTGTCATTGTAGGATCAGATCCCATTGAGAGCAAGCAAATCATAGGAACTCTTATCCTGGACTCCTTCCACATTCCCTCTACATCAAGGATGACACCTTCAGCATATCTCACACCCAAGGACTCTGAGATGTACTTTCTAGCTTGAGCATATGTTCTATCAGGACACCAGGACCTGCAAGAGTGAATATATAGCAGTAAATTATAATAATAGTATAGTGTAATAATAGTATAGTTATAGTATGTTAAACAATATACTCTGTACAAGAGTGAATAGTAGGAATAACTCTGTTTTATTTTCATTTCTTACCTAACAAGGAGGAGCTTCCTAAAGGTATCAAGACCGTTGTATCCATCAGGTATAGGCGACTCTTCAGGAGCTTCCATATCAAACCACAGTTTCCATCCTTTATCATTACGAGATATCTAAAAACATTTTTGATATATTATAAAAGATACATCCATATAGGCAGCACATTAATCATTGTATACAGTACATCACTAACTTGTGTTAGTATTTCAGAGAATTGCTGGAGCTTTGACAACTCAACTAAATTGAGCCATGTCATGTCAGTGATCCAACGAGAGGTCTTGGGGGGACATGCCTTCAAGTCCAACGCAGCCCCTCCCTTGATCAGAGTCTGAAACTCGTTATGTTTCACATGTCCTTTCTGCAGGTCAATTTTCAAAGCCAGCAAAAGAGTGAAAAGGAACTTGTGCTCTTCGTAAAGTCCTCTCGTGGAATATCGGAAAGCCTCAAAAGTCAAATACTCTACAATGTTGCTGATACGCTTAGCAGTCACAGGAGACTTGGCAGAGCGAGCCATGGAGTTATCAAAGATCTCCAAGAACTGAACGAGTGAGGTCTGATACATGACGCTCACCATTGACATCTCGACTATCAGGAAATAGAGAATAGAGCCACGGGCAGCGACTGGTCTGTACTCTTCCCTTGCTGTGTTTATCTTGATCTCAGTCTGTGCTGCTATCTCTAGCTTCTTAGTAACATCCTCTGCTGTGATTTTAGTAGTCCTCAGTACTTCAATGAGGGATTCGTCATCAACCAAAGAACCCTATTTAAAACAAGAATCATGTGTAATTTATTTATTTATTATTATTATTATTGTTATTATTATTAGAATTATTATTTGGGTACTTTTGTTGAGGTGAGACGATAGAGAAGGCTGTCCTCAAGCTCTTTCATTTTCTTCTTATTGGCTGTCACTTCCTCCATCAGTTTAACTCTCTCCACCTCTAGCTCCTGCTTCTCTGTCAGTATCACACGTCCAAGGAGCTGATCCTCAAGACCTTTCACTGTCACTGTGAAGTCAATGATAGCTGTACGGGCACTGATCTGTAAGAGAAGGTGGATACTTAATGCTTTATAATCCAAGTACAAACTTCATACTCAGATATAGGATTACAAAAAGCATGTATTTACTATTTTGCTATTAATGAAGTAATGACATTGCATTTACTTACTATTTTGGCCAACATTAAAAAATTCATAAAAAATCCAATTTTGATTGGAATCAGCTCAAAATTGATTGATTTACCATGCAATTATTACCATTACTGTTACTATTACACCCCATGTCTCATTGTAATGTCTCATTGTAATATTAAATAGATTGTGTTACCTACATATAACTTACCTCTGGTGCATAGGAAGGGTTTGGTAGTTTAGTTGTGATGTACAACACAAAACCTTTCATAACGTCGACTTCTTTGTCTCCAACCTTCACCTTAAGAGTGCTGCCAGCTTTAATAAAGTTCTTCTCCAGTACATTATCAAGTGCAGGGTCGAGCTCCTCTTCCACATCTTCTATCAGAAGCGGCTTACCGAGAGAGAGGCAGTCCTCTAGATGAGTCCTGAAGTACTTGTGATTCAAGTTAGTCATCTACAAAGGAATGATCACAATAACAGCATTGATATTGTGAGCTTAAGAATCCACTTAATTTTCTTAATTGTACCTGAAGTTCAGTGTTTGCTTCTCTATTCTTAATCCAGGTTTTCCCCTGACCTTGTGGATCAATGAGCAGTGGGTAACGAGTGGCTTTAGTTACGATGATTCCGTTCTGGACTGAGAGCTCATCGTTGGGAAGACCTTGAAGGTTCCATTCGCTGATGGTGGCAGAGTCAGTCAACAGACTAACAAGATTGAGGTCGAGGGAGAATGGTACATTACGAGATGCAAGCTCTTTCTTCCAAGCTTCAATTAGAATGCCACGGAACTCTTGATTGAAAGGACCAGAGTATGAGAGGAAACCAGTGGCTAGCAATATATCACCAACCAGCCTGTATAAATAATGCAAGTCAAATAATAAATTAATAATAATAATAATAAACACCAAAGTTAATGTTGTATCAATTCTAGCAATAATTATCTTTCAAATTTAATAAAATAATAACAAAAGAATAATAATAATGCTAACATGCAATGCTTTTATATCAGATTCAACAGTGATTGATTACCTTCCGAGTTGAGATTTAAATTCTTTACTCTGTTGGGTCCATCTCTCCTTCTCTCCTCCCAGTCCTTCAATGAGTGCTGAGGCAGCTTTCATCTTTCTCTTGCAAGTTTCAGCATCATCAATCAGTGCTTGTTTCTTACTCATCGCCTCATCATAGAGTGCCCTAACAACATCAAGCTCCTCCTGTTTTGCTGCTAGTGTCTTGTTTGCTTCTTCAAGCTCAGCCTGTGCTGCCTGGAACTTGACCTCCTGTATAGCCAGGTTGGCTTTGAGGGGAAGGACTTCTTTGTTTATCCCATAAAAGAAAGACATTGCTTTTGTCCAAGAGCAGAGACCAGCAACATTACCGCACACTTTCTTTGCAGTTTCAGAATTGTAGTCCTCCATTCTAAAGTATGGCTCAAGCAGTTCAACAGTCTCTTCATTAATGCTGTCCTTTGGAAAGGTCTGCAAGCTTGCAAGGAAACCAGTCTGACTCATCAGCTTGAGTGACTCTGACCACGAGGGCTTTGGGCCAGGACGCTCGGGATCTTGTGCCATATTGTTGAGCTTCTTTTGAAAGAGGAGCAACACACAGTCCATGATCCTCATGATGAGGTGAGGAGGAGTGCCAAGCTTCCTCACTGTAGCAATATCTCCTGATTTGATTGTCTGCAGAGCAGCTTCAGCCTCTTCTAGAGCAGGCCTTGCTTTCTCTAGCTTCTCCTCAGCAACGGATTTATCGGCTGATATAGCATCAGCAACTGCCTGGGCTCTGTCCTTCACCTTTTGAACTTCAGCTTTGACCTTTTCAGCAGCTTGTGCTTTCACTGTCACTTCAGCTAAAACTTTCTCTGCTTCCTTTGAGGCTACCACTAGGTCCTTCTCTTTCACTGCAAGTTCTTTAGCAAGCTCAGCCACAGACTCACCAGCTTCCAGCAGTTTATCAAGTCCAGTGTTCATTCTGTCAAAGAGCTCTTGCACTTGACTTTTCTTTTCAATGTAAATCTTCTTATATCCCGAGATAAATGAGAGGTAAGATTTTGGTGTGACATGCGTTGTACGACGAAATCGCTCAAAATAATTAACGCAACTCTCAGCAACAAAGTCTTGGAATACACCCATGGCTTTTATCACCTCTTGCTTCACCTCAGGAGTACACATTATATCAAAATCAGAAATAAAATGATGAGCAACAGCAATCAAAGCATCCTTGGGCCAGCGGCTGAACCAGTCCATGGTGCAACCGCTGAAAAGCCCAGGGAATTTCAACGAGCGACTACGAAACTTCTCTCCTACCGGCGAGAAACAGAGTACAACATGAAGGTTCTTCCTGGCGCGGGTTAAGAAGTAATTATAAAGGTTCTCGGGTGTGGGAGGCCGTCTTGGAAACTCCTTCTTCATGATCGGGATTAGCTCAGAGTTTATTTCGTCAATTTCATCTCTCGCAAAAAGATTTGAGACTTCCCCGGAAGAGAGGACATTGTTAATGTATTCGAGGAAGCCTTCATCCTTAATCTCTTGATCAGTGAACAGGAAAGTCATTCCTTTACCTTGCTGACCTGCTGTTCTGTATAAAATCTAAAGAAAAGTTAACAAAATGGTGAATAGTATACATGGACATAAATTAAGAATATAAAATACATAAATAAAATTTGATAATCTTGTACTCAGTTATACAAGTAAAAGGTTATGTATTGGACTGTACCTTTAAATCGTCCAGTAGATTGTTAGCATTGTAGGTCCTTGTTAGTGTGATCTGGAAGGTTTTGTACCCTGCAATGAATGAGGCCAGTCTCGTGAGACTCTGCTTTCCTGATCCACCCACTCCAACTAGGAGTGCATTCCCACGGTCTGTTCGTATGATACGGGATATCTTTATAAAGTGGACCATGGCATCTTTGAAGAATACAAGATCCATTCCAGAGCCTCTCACCGTCTCGTTGTACTGCTGTAGGAAGTTAGTGAGTCTCTCCTCCACTTCAGCATATGATGGAATCTGAAAAAAGAAAGAGAAAGAGAGTAAGGATGATACGTTTCATTGGCTTAACTGGTTCATATATCTTAGGAGCTTCTAATTCAGCATCATCAGGTTCATCTCCAGTCGGCTCTGGTGGGTCTCTCAGGAAATCAACAAAATAAGGTTCCTCTGGTATCCTAGAGGCAACATCAGGTCCAATCTCATCGCTAAACACCACTGGTACCCTTTTATCAAACCACTCCTTATCTTCTGGGTTAGTGAACCTGTCTGCAATGACTCGTGTGCACTCGTGCTTCCAGAGACCCAAGAGAACCTCAAGAGAGCTCATGGTCTCTTTCTCAACGTGGAGCATACCCTCCCAGATACGAGAGAGATCACGAAGATTGAAATTATAATGAAACTTAGCTGGAGTAGGCAACATCTTGCCCTAAAGAGAAATGTATTTAATATACATGTACCACTATGGTATGATAATAATAATAATAATAATAATAATAATAATAGTAAGGCCCTACCTTAGTGTCTTGCCACAGTTTCCTGGTACATATGACAAGTTTTGGTATCATTTCAATTATCTCAGAGCCAAAGCCTCTCTCAGCACAGAAGTACCCACAACCAATAGCACCAAATATCTTGTCAATGGAAGCATTAGAGGGCAGAGTGCAATTGAAGACACTGAACTGTCTCTTTAGTCTCTGAGGTATGTCATTACGACCACCTCCAGGATGGATCATGGCAGCAAGGAACTGAATATCTTCAATGTGCGTAAAGTCCCCTGGTTTCTCAAGAGAGTAGAAACCCTGCATTTCACTAGTCTGTCGTACTATCTCGTTAGTGATCTGATCCCCCCACTCGTTAATGATGGGCATGTTCACATCATCAATAAAGACTGTCATCTTCTTTCCAGCTGGTGGGCCGTAAGTGGTCCCCACCCTCTTGTCAATGTAGCTCTCGATTGATCGCTGGAAGTGACCCGGGGTGGTAGCAGAAGAGAAACTGAGACCTTTACTGAGGTGCTCCTCAACGTTGTACTTTGAGAGGTACCCATGGATAATGACAGTCTTAGCTGTCCCTTGCTCTCCTATGAGGAGAACAGCTTTGGATTGCTTTGACAGTGTGTGGATGAGGAAGTCAGTGCGGACGTTATCGACATTAGGTACAAGGATGGTGTGATAGGCAGGTATGCTGTCCCTTGGATACACGTACTCCTCAACACGGGTCGACCAGTGTATCCAGTCACCATTATCCTCCGCTGGCACATACTCAAAAATAGTATCACCTTCATTTTGAAGCACAGGGAAGTCCAGATCAGGTTTATGCTCTTTCATCCATGACTCCATCTTAGCCCTACTGTCCAACTCCTGGAGGGCCCCTATGCTCCACATTATTGCAAATATGTACAAGTGCTCAAGATGCTTTGGCTTTAGTGATACATTCTCTTCCTTTGATGGTATGAGTCCCTCTATTATGTAGCAAGCCTGCACTATGTAGTTACACTGGAGTAGCTCCATTTTTGCCTCAAGCATCACAGACACATAGTTATATATGTCAATGAATGAGCCTTCAAATATATTGAGAAGTATATCAGACTCTGATGAGGTTATCTTCTTCTCTTTGACTTTTTTAAGGAGCCAGCTCTGAAGAATGGGCTTCCAGTCCAGACCAGAGGAACTCATGTAGACCATACCGTTACGAGATACAGTGGCTGGGGAGGCATTGTCAACATTGTGCGGCTCAAAGACAATCTTGCAGTCAGGGAACATGGGAATACGGTCACCGTTAGCAAGCGTCAGTGTCTTATTATCGTCCAGTACACTGTTGAGGTTTTCTATCCATATGGCATCTACCGGTCCATCTAGGACTAGCCATATGTGCTCTCCTTTCTTTGCTTTGTGAGTCCGTCTCCATAGAGTGGAGAATATACCATCAGTCCAGTCGTTAGTGGCTACATCAAGACGACCAAACATTTGTGGGGCAGTGATGGCCTTTGGATTCATTCTCATTTCCCTGTGTGGCTCTCCACAGTCGGTCATTGCTTTCATTAGTACGTTAATGCAGCAAGTCTTACCTGTTCCACTAGGACCAAGGACCATGAAACCGTGACGGACACGCTGTGTCTCAAACAGTTGGATTAGTTTGAGTGTCCAGGACTGGTGATTGATAAGGCCAGCCTCTTTGACCCTAGTATCAATGGCTGCCTCAAGTTCAGGATAGCCAGCAGTCTCCAAGGTGATCCCTGGGAACAAGTCGTTTATTAAACTGAGGAACAGCGGCTCATCCTCGTCAACCAGTTTAGATAAATTCATGTCACGCAAACTCCTCATTACAATCATCTCTTCGCTGTCGTTAGGACACATCCTTTTAACTGGACCCAGGGAACGAAGGACAGATAGGATGTTCCTTAACCCAAAGTCATAATGAACCTGCAAGAAGAAACAAAATCATCATACAAAATACATCATACATGTACACATGTAAGACAAATGTAGATTCAAATCAATTAAAATTTATAATGAATTTTCTTACTTGTTTTGATAGCTGTTCCTCGCAAAGTTTGTACAATGTATAAAACTTTGAGGCAAGGACAATGTTCTGTAGGAAACCACAAGAAGCTAGTTTGACACGAATAATGATTTGTCTATCAGGGACCATCATGGCTATTGGCCTAAAGTTAATCTTGAGATTCTCTGGTAACTCCTGCCTACCGGCATAACCAGGATTCTATAGAAAATACAAATGATGATGATAGATATCATACAGTATATTCAAGTAGTGATAATGAATAATAAATATTATGTAATTAAGTTAGCATACCATTGTCAAAAATAGTCCAAACTCTGGGCTAAGACTGACCACGTCACCATCAGTAAAAATGAACTCTGTCTTCCTTTCTTTCTTAGCTATCAGCACAATGAATATCTGCTGTGCAGCAACAGAGAGTACTGGTAGTTCTATTCTATTGAACTCATCAAAGCAGCCCCAGGAGCCAGACTGGGCCAGGCCCTTGTAAATGCGCCCAAGGCCACGGAAGTCCATTTGATCTGAGCAATTGAACACAACCACATATTTACCTAGAGCTCTACCCATGTCCTTAGTAGTTTCTGTTTTACCAGTACCTTTATTATTAAGAAAAAAAAAATAGTAAAAAATATACGGAAATAATTGTTATTAATGACAAAATTGAAATTATTGTCAAAGCTTACCTGCAGGGCCAGCAGGAGCTCCTCCCAGTGACATCCCAAGGGCCTGAGCTAGTGTGATATAGCACCTGTCAGTGAGTGGAGTAATGACCAGACGCTCAGTACAGCCAAGGAACTCATTCTGGTATGTAAAGTCAACGTCCGTTATTGAAATAACGACAGAGCTAGTGTCTTCATTGAAATAGAACCTGCTTTGCTTTAACCATTCAAAATCAGTTGCAGATTTGACATTCAAACGAACCTAAGAAAAATTCAGAAATTAATAGTCAATTACATATAAGAGAGGAAGCTTACCAGATCATCAAAGATGTCTCGCTGGTGAAGGTGAATGAGGACAAGTGTCTCGTATTTGACTCTGTCTATCTTCTTAAGCTCTTGCGTTGTCATCCCAATCAGTGAGTTCAACATTTCAAGGAAGAAGTCATTAGTGGCGGCCATTATCTTCTTGTCGGAGCGAGCCTGAGAGAGAGCAACTTCAGCATCTCTTGTCCATATGAGTTGAATACCAAGAATACCAACCTAGAGCCAAAGAGACAATGAATTAGTAGCACCTTTATTTAATGATAATAATAATAATAATAATAATAATGATAATGATAATTATAATTACTTTATATTTTATTATTATGTTTATTATAATTCCATACCTGAGCTGGATAATTGTTGAGATATTCCATTAGTGCAAAGTTAGGATCAGCAATAGCAACTGATGCCTGTTTGATCACAAACTTGACTGCATTCAATGAAGCAGTGAGAAGACTGCCCAGCCATAACTCAACATTGCCTTGTGCCATTACTGGTTGCTCCAGCTATAAGAGGAGAGAGAGAGAGAGAGAGAGAGAGAGAGAGAGAGAGAGAGAGAGAGAGAGAGAGAGTGAACAAAAGGATATCATGGAATTAATGTACTTCAATTGTTTCTGGTTCTCTTGACTTGATCTCAAGTATCTTGTCGTACTCTTTCTCATGAAAAGTAACAGTCTTTATGTTATCAAAGACACTGAGAAGATGAGCCTATGCAAATTAACAAGACATTTATAAAAACATATATCACACAAATTTATGAATTCACAGCACTATAATTCACATTGTACTATGCAGCTATAACTAGAAATTTGCATCAATATGCATGAATACCACTATAAGAATTTTCCAGTGCCGTTTTTGGCAAAAGAACAACAATAGCAAAATACTAACTTGTATGGTGTGCGAGTCTGATGCTTGTCCTAATATCTCAAGGAGTGCAGGATCAGACACAAAGAAGAATCGAGGAAATATGAGCCTCTTCTTCTCAAGATAGCCAGTGAGGGATTTCTGACACAACTCCAGCTGCTCCAGGAGATGAGGGAGCAACTGGCCAAGTGTCTCATCTCCAACACAACACTGGACAACGTTCGGGATCTCGTGTGCTTTAGTCATTATTTTTATCCAAGACTTGTCAATGTTTTGAAATCTTTTAGCTTCCTATATAATGTACATTATATTATACTAAACTGTAGATATAAAATAATTATATAAACATAAAACTTAATATAATTATAGATATTATTACATATATTATATATACTGAATTGCCAAATTTCTTCAAAAATAAAAAGTAGAAATTTTCTCATTTTAATAATTTTTTCTGATATGCATACATGTATTTATGTTGTGTAGAAAGTTTGAGCTGATTTTAATCAAATTTAAATTTTTTATGAATTTTTAAAGTTATTAAAAAATCAGGCCAAAGTCCCTGTACTATAGTACAGGGATTTTGGCCAAATTTCGTCAAAAATAAAAAGTTGAGATTTTCTCATTTTTATAATTTTTTCTAATACATATACATGTTCTTATGTTGCGTAAAAAGTTTGAACAGATTTCAATCAAATTTGGATTTTTTATAAATTTTTAAAGTTGCTAAAAAATCTGGCAAAAGTCCTGGATTTATAGTGACAATGGAACAAATGGGGTTTTGCTTGTCACAGATTTTGTGACATGGAACAAATGAGCTGCATGAGCACTATGCTGGGAAGCCCTGTATGTGTGTACATAAAACTAAGTGGATTACTTTTGGAAGCTGCTTTGCAATGTCACCTCCAACAAAAACTGCTTCTAAGTATACCCAGAGATTCTGAACAACAAGCCAATTCTCAATGATTTCAGTTGAGTTTGACAACTTTTGAACCCAAAGTTGTATGTCCTTCTTAAAGGGAGCGTTATATCTAGAGAAGAGAAAATAGTAATGGAATTAACACTAAACTAATTGTCATGTACCTATTGGACATAAGTGATCCTAGGACCATCAGAGAGTCTTCCATTAGTGAAATAATTTCAGAAGTTTCTTCTCCTCTGAGCAGAAGCTCTCCCCTTGTCTTGAAGGGCGCAAAGCTAAAGTTCTGGACGCCCCAATCAACAACCACTTGCTTGAGCTTTGCCTCAATATCCTTCTCTTTAACAGCTGCTATACAAATATCCTGAGGAGAGGAAAGAGATGGTAAATAATACTCAAGTATCAACAGTCTCTACCTCAATGTCTTCTCTGAATTGAAGTAAAGGAGCTTCCATTATGTTCCTCAAAAGGAAATTCTCTGACTCGACATCAAAGCTGTGTTTAGTAACCTAGAGAGCACATGCAGGAATACAAATAATCACATTACACATTACATAATATGCACACTGCACAGAGAAACAACTATACACTTACTGCCTCCATTCTTTGCCAGTGTCTCTCCTTCAGAGCTTTGTTTGCCATCATTTCAAGGAGAGGGCAAGTCTCGTTAAAGTCATCAATCTTCTTCCTCAAGTCATCAAATGCTTTGTAGTCCTTGACAGCTTTAGGCAACTTTCGGCACTTGTTCTGGAAGTCAAGGATCTCATTATTTATCTTCTCAATGTCAACCTAAATAAAAACGTTAGTCTAATGACGTACATTTTAATATAATCTTGCCTCTGTCCAAAGTATGTCATAATATCCATCCACACTGTCCATCACAATGTTATAAAGGCCGTACAACTTCTGGAGGAGATTAAGTTCCTTCCTGATTCTATCCAGCTCTGGGTAGGCAGTTGAAGAGAGACCAAAGAGTTTCTCGCCGTCAGTGTATGTCTGAAAGCGTCTCCATAACTCGTCAAACTGGGTCTGAAACAGGTTTAACCTGTCCGAAGCTTCCCTGGGAGCAATCCCTTCGACCATTGGCCCAGACTATTATAATACAATATTTTGTAGTAATGATTGAGGCATTGGGTGGACTTACTGTAGCATAGTCACCATAGAACTTCTCTGTATCTACTTTAAATATGTCAACATTTGTAAGGAGCTTCTCTTGGAAGTCAGACTGTATCTTGATCAAGTGATCCTGGACTTGAGCCTACATGACAAACCAGACATTTTCAACATCATAAATATGACAAAAAATTTCAATCATATATAATGTAGATTCATAATATCTTTGGTAGTTCTTACAGCTGATGCAAGGAGCTTCTGCCAAGAGTAACGAAGAGTGTCTACTCTCTCTGCCTCTTCTTTTTGAACTTGAATCTGAAACTTACTCAACACTCCATAAGACTCCTAAGAGGAAGCAGTCATTGTAGAAAACTAAAGATAATTCTAACTTCAATTGGTCCAAGAGACATGTCAATTTGAATCTCATTCTCTCTGATCTCTAACAAGGCGGACATTGCCGTACGAACATCATCAAGGTCTTTTATCGGTCGACTGAGTCTCTTTGCAATGTCTTCAATTTGTTCCAGGGTCTTCTCCATTAAGGTACTGAACTTGGTGTTCATGTGCTGCCCATAAAGAACCTTCCATGACTTTGACTCGGCAATGATGGATAATTTAAGATTAGCTGGGAAAGAGAGAGAGAAAAAACATTAAATGTAATTTCAAACTAAGCTCCTTACTAGCATCAAGGAGAAAAGCTCCAACAATGATCAGATCATTCTCTGCTTCAATCTCGGCCTCCAATACTTCGTAATGTTTCATCTCACCCTCAAAGTCTCCCAGAGATGGGTCCTTATCCATAAACTCGGCTATCTTTACCGACTGCTCGGTCTTCCATAAATCCTCGTAAACATTAAAGTATCTAAAACTCTCCATTACTGTTGGCTTTGCTGCAGTGATGGCTGAACTAAGACCAGAGACAAGTTTTGCAATGTCCTTGTGCTCAACTACATTTCGATGAAAGTTCTTTAGCTCTGGCTTCTTTGACATTTGAGCTTGCGAAGGACTTGGGAGAGTCTGACTAGCTGCAGCGAGGGCTCCTTGACTTGCTGATGTCAAAGAAGGGACTTCCGATTCACTCCCTGGCTCTATCCTAGCCTGTCCCCACTGATAGACCCTCTTATGGACTCCCAGTATAGTCTGAACAATATCATTAATAGTTCCCTGTATTGACTCAAAGTTTGGCTTCACGACAAGGTTAGGTATTGCTAGTTCCAAGTGGACTTTAAGCACAGGCTGTCTCTCTCCTTTCTCGTCACTTTGATCGGCATAGTTAATTATTGGAGGGTTGAGAGCTTTCTTTAGCTTCTCTAGTGTAGTACGGGTTGCCTGTACAAGTGCCTCGCTGTTCTTCCGGGAAATATAATCAAAAAGAGCCCCTGCCTCCTCTCTCAGCTCCTCTTTCTTTTTCTTTCGTCTCATTTCAGCTGCTTCTCCTGGAGGTAGACTCATGTCTACATGTGCAACACTTGAGCGACGGGACACTCCAGTCCTAACAGTAGCTACAGATGGACTGCTGTCTGATGAAAGTAGCTCCAGCTCCTTCTCATCCTCAAGAGAGAGGAGGAGCTTAAGGAGCTCAGTAGTGGCCAGCTCAAGTTTTAAAGTATGAGAATCAAGCTCACTGGAACACTTTTCACACAAAGCCTAAAATGATATTAAAAAGGACTAATATTTATTTATTTATCATTAAAATATCATTATTAAAAATTATCATTGCTTTCTATATTAACAGTGAACACCATCATATTTATTGTACATAACTTACATTCACTTTATCCATGAACTGTTGAGGTGTCCATTGCTCTCCGTCAGGCAACTCACAGAGAACAGTTTGTTTAATTCGGCTAAGTCCTCCCTCAATCCTCACATCCAGTATATCCTTAGCACGACTGATGAGCGTCTCCAGCTCTTTGAGTGAGGCCCTCACACTCTCAATGTATGAGTCAATGTTTAGTGAGGTCCAGCGTAAAAGGGTCAGGCCAGGGCTCAGTGTCTCATCCATCATTTCAAGGTGAGGCAACATGAGGTTGAAGAGAAGGTCGGGGATCTGAGCTCTGACAGACTCGTTCTCCTCCAGCATCAACTGAAAAGCAAAGAAAGACATAATAATGTCATTAAAATAATCCAAGTAAAAATATTTATGCATATATGTGAGTGTTATATCTATATATATATGACTCACTTTTAAGCTATCATATTTCTCTTTCAACTCATCTCTCTTTTGCCTCATCTCCATTGCTTTTGGAGGTACATCTATCCCCAGCTGTCCCATCACATCAATCTCTCTCATTAGCTCGTGAATCTGTGGGTCGTAGTTGACGTACACGACTTGAGTGTCTGGGTCTCGCACAAGGAGAGTTGAGTTGAGGCTCTTCTCAACGTCGGAAATTTTCTTATTCCAAAGATTAGTGTGAATCAATTCATATTCCACCAACACCTAATATAAAGAAAGGGAGAGAGAGAGTAAGATTATTATTAATAATTATTTCCATTTTTTAAAGGTATTACATACCTGTGCCAGTTTATTAAAGCCCTTGAGTGCTTTCCGAGTTTCCGGTAGATCAAGGACTTTCTTGAAAGACTGGAAACCTTGAACAGGTTTGTTGATGCGATGAAAGAGCTGGCGAGACCAGGCAATCTTCCCGACAAGAGGAGGCAGGTTTCGATTAAGAGGAGGAGAGTGCTTCTTGGAATTGTACTCGGTTTGTACAAACTTGAGATCAGCAACAAATAAATCAACAGTCAACCTCCACTTTGCTAACATATCCAGACAAGGCAATTTAAGGCTATATAAAAAGAGTGAGAGAAGAAATTTTAGAAGTTGTTGATACGTATATATGTAGGTCATATGTCAAAAATGGATAATTTTTGTGATACATGCAAAAAGCGTAGAAAGTCAAACTTCAAATAGACCAAACCAATGATTTCCAGTCACAACAATTGTTTCTTGACCCAAAACTCACCGTTCAAATTTCTTTGTAAAGTAAATAGCTCTTTCAACTGAAGTGAGCCCTACATAAAACTGGTCCATGTGAGCTTGAAGCTGAAACTATAACAACAACAACAAAAAAATAACAATAATAATAAATAATAATAATAATAATAATAAATAAAAATAATAATTTTTTTTACATCAAGGTCTTTCAGTTGCAACTTGAAGTCCTCATAATCAACTTCAAAATCCTCCTTCCTGTGATCAAGGACATCATAAGGCTTCTTCTTAAGTCCAGTCGCTAGGAGACTAAAACGAGAATTAAAAGTCTCAATACCCTCAATACGAGATAGGGAGAGAGTCTCGTAGACTTTTGTTGTCTTCAAGAACTCGGTAATATTATGCAGCCTGCATGGAAGATACAAAAAGCATAAAAATTGTATTCATACATAGTCAATTATCATGGCGCTACCTTCTGCAGAAGCTGTTGAACTTGCCAAAAATGTACATTTCAGAGAAATCAAAAGGCTTCTCATCAGGATGGTCTTCAAGGCGCTTCTTTGTCCTCTGGAAGCATTGCTGGTATTCTTCATTCAACTTTATGCAATGCTCCATCTTGAGGACAACCTGGTCTCTCTCCTGCTCCCAAACCTACAGAGAGCACAATATCAATAGAAGCATGAGTAATATCAATAGTCTTATATAATAATTAGGCTTACCTTGTGATACCCATTGTCAGTGATGTGTGCCTTGCATGCGTTGATCATCTGGTTGGTGACTTTGACAAATAATGCCGTCATGTGCTCTGAGGTATTGTAATACCGTGAATAACTGTTTATCATCCTGATGGCATTCATTAATCCTGGGATAGCATCCAGCATGCTTACCTATTATTGTTTTATAAGATAAGAATTGAAGTAACATAAGGGTATTAAACATGGTGAAGTGAATTGTAATTACTGTTGTATTTATATCAAGTCAATAGTGTTAATAGTGCATATTAATCAATTAAATAATGATTTAAACTAAAGGAATAATGACTGCTATTTGAATAAGCATCAATACTCACTGGATTGCACTTGTATAAAGGTTCACAATACTTTTCCAGCGTATAAAGAAACTTGACATTATCCTTTGCCTCGTTAGTAAAATCAGTGATCTGAAGATCTAATTCCTTCCACGTCTACACAATAACAGAGCATTTATTCACGAGCATTGAAAGACAGTTCGTGAATATACTCATACCTTCAACACTTTAGACTTTGATGCTAACAGAATGCTCATTACAGTCTTGAACTGAGGGCTCTTGACACAAGCAGTGAGCGAGTCAAACTTGGCAAGACGTTTCTTCCAATGGTCTAGTTCTGCTTTGGGGCCAACATCATCAGCCTCTTTCCTCAACTGCTCAGATTCTGTCAGTATCTAAAACAAAAGTTTATATTTTGCAGCTTTTGTAATGTAGAAGGCTTACCTGCTCTATTTCTTTACACCATAGGAGTGCAGTCGTTTCAGCACCTTCAACTATCTCTGGCACATTAGCAGCTACCATGGCTTCAGAGAGAGAGGAGACTGCAGACACGCCAGGATGAGAGCAAGGGGAAAGCTTTGCAGCGTCGGCTACGCTTGCACGAGCATTAGCAAGGACAGAGATAAAACTGTCAAGTTTCCCAAGGAATGATTCCTTTACATTATGACCCGACACATCCTTTGAGAGTTCCCCCCAGTTAGACTGCTCCTTGAGTGCAGGCACAAACACGTTCTTCATTAGTGTTTCCATTGCCTCAAGGAGTCCACCTCCACTCCTTGATTCTAGGACACCAAAATTTGTGTCTTGCGCAATGTTGGCAGTTGTCAGTGCTTTTGGTGACGCACGTAGAAAGAACATGCCAAGACCCGGGAAAGGTTCTTTAGTCCCATCAGTAACGTAGAGCTCTTTAACAGGTTTTCCTGCTTTACCTACAGTTATAAGTTAATTAGACAAGGAAGCTAATCAATATGAGAAAAAAATGATTACAGTACTTACCATCTGGAGTTTTAGTGGGAACTTCTTTGTAGAAAAATAACAACCCTTTTGGACCATTTGCAGCAAAGAAATCGTCCATCATACTAAGCTATATATTTAAAAGTAAGATTATGTCTTTCTTGTGCAGTGCTCTCTATTGTCTCACCTGGTCTCCTTCCAAAATAAAATCTTCAACTTCAGCATCTTCAAGGCCAAGTTTAGCAGCTACTGAGGAGAATAGATGCTGATGACGTGCATCCAGGGTCGCTCTCTTAGCTTCTTTTTCTTCCTTGAGCTTTTGCTGTCAGCAAATGAAGCATTTAAAGCAGCAGAAAGAAGATGGATATGATACCTGTTTTTCTTTGTTGGAGTCTGTCACAGGGCCCCTGCTCTTTCGCCTCTCTTGCGTCTGGTCACGACGAAAGTGCTTTCGAGTGACTGCAGTTTTGGAAAACTGCCTGGTTAGTGGTGGTACCTTCTCTCCGTCAGCCATAGCTGAGGAAAGAGAATCTCTTGCTTGTTGCGAATAAAAATACGCCCACCACACGCACGAAGCTATTTTTATGAAATTCATTCGCCGAGTTTAATTATCCCCGCCAAGTCCCAATACGCATGCGCAGATGCTGCGGTTGTCTGCGAAATTCAGTTTAGCTGAATCATCACATTCATCAGACATCTCGTCAAAATGTCTTTGTTTCTCCTCATTTCTCTTCTCTTCTTTTCCCCCAGCCAGGGAATAGGATGGTATAAAGAGGCTCCTCACCCGTGGCCTAGTGTCGTAAAGTCTCCTCTCCCGCAAATGAAGCCCGAGTCTCTCCCCTCATCATTCAGCTGGAGAGAGGATCACTACCTCAGTCCACCAACCAACCAGTTCCTGCCCAATCCCTGTGGCGGCTGCTGGGCCCATGCCTCAGCTGGAGCCCTCACTGATAGATTCATCTTGAAAACTGGCGTCATAATCCCTCATCTTAGCATGCAGGCTCTGCTGGACTGCGGGAGAGAGGAAGGGTTTGTGGAAATGGGATCCTGCGAGGGAGGGAGCGACATCCTAGCATACGACTTTATCTACAACAACGGGATCACCGATTCCACCTGTTCTCCATATATGGGCGTGGTATTCACGAACTGGGCAGAGGGTACGAAGTGTACTCAGCGAATGTGCAGACAGTGCGACACCTTCGGCAACTGTCATTTTGTGAACGGGACACTCTACCACATTTCAGAATACGGGAATGTGACCGGTGAGATTGAAATGATGACGGAGATGTACGCCCGTGGCCCCATAGCATGCTCTGTATATGCACACACTGACAATTTCCTCAAGTACACTGGTGGAGTCATCACTGATGATACTCCGTACAATGTAACTACGCACGTCATCTCTCTGATTGGATGGGGCACTGAAAATGGAGTCAATTATTGGATTGGACGTAACTCTTTTGGGACAGAATGGGGAGAGGGAGGGTGGTTTAAAATAGAGAGAGGAAAGAACACTTTGAATATCGAGAGACATCCATGTGCCTGGGCTGTACCAAAAGTATAAAGAGAGACATCAAGAAGAATTGTATAATCATTTTTAATTTTGCAGTACAGTGTTTATATACTTGAGTGCTTGTGTTTCAGTTTCATTTGTCAATATGACTACTTTATTAAATAAAGAACAAAATATTCTCTTGATATACTTATAAAATAATTTTAAATAAAAATCCTGCATTGCCCCTTCACTCGAGCACAGGGTAACAGTTATTAGGAAGAGTAGGTATTGTCAGAGGCAGGAGGTGATACTTTACCACCAGACATTATGGAACCACTCCGTAACAATGGCTGATACTGTTTCTCTCTGAAGACTTCATGGAGTGTCACCTGATTTGAGAGATCAAGATCAAGATGAAATGCAAGTGGTTAAAAAAAGTTTCTCACGTTTATAAAAACTTCTTCAAGAGTTGTCTGAGATATCGAGTAATCGTACACAACAGCAGCTATCTGGTCTTCTTTCTCAAGTATTTTAAAGAAAGGAACGACATTGGCATGACTACCGATAATTAGAGAAAAAAAACAAAAATTAGCAAGTAAAATTTACAACATATGCATATCTCTATTATACAATAAAGAATTTTATGCAACACCTACCAATCTGGAGGAAGATTATATGGTAACAGTACACCATCCTCCACCTTTAGAGGCTCAGTCTTAAGTGTGGCACCTACAAACAATGAAAGACAGTACTTAGCCAGCCACACCCACCAGGCAACTGAGTCCCAACAATGTCCATTATTTGTTGGACGTTGTCTTCACGTACAACCAGTTCTATATTGTAGCCAGCAAACCTGTTCTTTAGATTCACAGAAGTACCCATCACTCTATAACAATGGGACATTAAATCTAACTAAGTACAAGTATATGCACACCTTAATTGACCATTGGTCATGATGGCAATAGTATCTCCAAGTATGTCAGCCTCTTCCATTGAGTGTGTGGTCATCACAGTCACACGGTTCTTCTTCTTCTCGAGGATCAGGTTCCATATATTCCGCCGGATCTTTGGATCCATTCCAGTGGTAGGCTCATCTTTAAGGAAAAGAGTCGTTAAAAATAAAGTATGATCGACTGGTCAAACCTAAAAACACAACACAGGGGTCCCCAAGGAACGACATTGCCACGCTCAACCTTCTCTTCATCCCACCACTAAAAGTACCAACACGATTATCAGCAACCTAGGCATGTTGCACACATCACATACTGTGTCTCTAATGTTATCACTTACATGATCCAACTGGACCTGCTCTAGTAGTTGGAGTATTTCTTTCTTGATGGATCCTCTTGGTACTCCTTTCATACCAGCAAACAGCTCCATGTGCTCTTGAGCTGTCAGATCATTCCACAGTATGTCATGCTGCAGAGTGTGTGTGACATTAATTAGAGTAACTGTCAAATGCATACTGTCTTTACCTGAGGGCATACGCCAAGTGAACTTCGAACTAAATCAAGTTCTTTAGTGACGCTGTGACCATAAAAATAAGCATCACCTGCAGAAAAAGGCAAAGCTTAAAAGATAAATAAAAATATATAATGATTATACCTTTGTCAGGGCAGAGTAACCCAGTGAGCATATTAATGGTAGTAGACTTACCAGCACCATTATGACCTTGAGAGAATGAGGATTATGTATACAAGGATAATCATAATATATACCCAGCAATGAGAGGATTTGATCCTGCTCAACTGAGAGCGTTAAATTATTGACTGCCATTGGAATCGCTGAATCTCCACACCTCAGAAAAGAGCCATATCTCTACATGAAAATATATAAACATGAAAGAGAGAGAGAGAGGGGGATCACTTACTTTACACAGACCATTCAATACCAAAGCATTCCCAGATGCTCCATATCTTTGCTACAAGGGATAGCAATAAAACCATATCTTATATAAGCCACTTATCATACTTGGCCCTCCAGAAGTGAATCTCCCTCTCCTTCTTTCTGCAGACTCTGTACTGGTGGCCTTAGAAGATACTGACCGCTTCTCTGCTTCTGAGGGCAGCAGTCGCCAAACCAATATGAATACTGAAGGAAGAAATACCTACAAATTGAACAAAAATAATTGTTACAATTGATGGTTGTCCACACCAAAGTTCTCACCATTTTCTAGGTATCCCATGATTTCCGGTGATAACATTGTCCAAATACCAAAAGAGGATCCCATAGAAGAAACCATTAGCAATGAGCATTAGAAAAGACTCGTAGGTTGGAGGGAGTTCATGCTATAAAAAGGAGCATCATTATTATAAATAATAAATTATTTGTACTCACATAAGTTGCCACAGGGTTTTCACGATTACTGAAATCAAACAGGAGGACTTTGATTTGCTTGAATAACTCATTCCAGCCGTAATCTTATTAGTTGTATAAAATCAAGAGACAAGTACGAATAAATTGTATTATCCTTACGATAAGGAGTCTGTGGTAACCCATTGGAATCAGTGTCACTGGAGGCTAGACCAATATCACCCATGGCCTTAGACTAATGAGAAAAGAGGAATAATCAACAAAACTTATGGTCAAAATTAAGTTACATGCAGTGATCACATGATACATGTAATTTCACATCTTTTGCTTGCACAACTCAACTCACCAGATGAAATGGAGGCAAGAATGAAAGGACATACACTAGAGGCTTCACGTACACATACAGCTGGGACAACAGGAATGGATTACCTAAAAGTAAAATGAAATACTGACATGCATAAATTAATCAATGTCCTTATTTACCGAGTAGTGATATTATTATGAGCCCAATAACAAACACCATCATACCAACTGCAACTGGAGAGAAAGAGAAGATACAAAGGAAAGTGAAGAGCATATTTATTAATAATGATAATAATAATGGTACCTGCCATTCTAATGGTATTAATGAAGACACTAGCAAAGAAGGCTAGTGGGACCATACTTGAACTGTATAGAAAGAATAATACTAGATGGAAGAAGAATGTAAGGAAATAAATGTATGATGATGACACTGGATAAAAGTGGTTTCAGTTGCTTACAAAAGTTAATGATGAAGTTGGTATTGAAAAAATATTTGAGTTGACAAGCATAACCAGTTGCCATTAATATACAGGTAGACACAAAAGCAATTCCAAAACCAGTTATGGTCCTAAGTCAAAAGGATTGAGGAGTATAAGCTGTACAATATAAACCAGTCTCTAACCAGGCACACCAGTAGACAGAGTCCTTTAGTCCGGTTAGTTTGAGACCCTGACGCAACTTGAGGTCTTTCTCAGAGACTACATTGTAAAGCATCATCACAAACTAGAGGATAATAATAATAATAATAATAATAATAATTTATTAGTAACCTGGAAGGTAATGGCACAAAATAGAAACACAGTAGCACTTTGAGCCTACAATAATCAGTTAACAGATAATTAATAACAAATAATTATACATGTACACTTATGAGACCTGTTTAGATGCAAGGGAAGGTTGTTGAAATATCTTAGGGAAAGTTTCAGCTTGCACAGTAATGTTCACTGACTCATTGAGGACCCGTGACATGAAGACTTGATCAAGAGCTAACTGTATCTCTAGAAAAGGAGAGACACATGAACAAGGAAAAGTAGAAAGGAAGCAGTGTGTGTGTGTGTGATGCAATACATGTAACAGTTTTAACTAACCACTCCTCCCATCTGGTTTGTCCGGTGAACCAAACACAAGTTGCTGTATCTTTAAAGCTCGAGTAGCATTATACATTATAGTGTAATTGAGCTTAGGAGAACTGGCAAGATAGCAATGTACATGCATCAAATCAATAATGATACTCTTACCTTCCATTATAGTTACACTCAAGGAACACAATGGCCTATAGCAGCAACAATAAGGATGAGGCAATAATCAATAACATTCACTTACTGCCTGTGTTGTGTTGTCGAGCATCAGTTCCTCTAAACCACTTGAAATAGATTTAAAATCAAGGTAAGTATTATTTTTGATATGTTCGTGATCCAGGTGACTTACTATTACAGCAAATATATAAAAATATAAATAAATAAATCATAAAAAGGAGCTTACCAGTAGCAAAATCCCCCATTAGCGTATTAATACACTGTTTTGTTTCTTCATTAGGTGAAAAAAAAGGAGCTGACAAATCCTAATGTAATAATGATAGCAATAATTATAAGAAATGGGAACTACGTGTACATACACATATCAGTAATAAATAATAATACTACTAATAAGACTCACCAGTCCAAATACCAGGAGAGTATAGCAGTTTTTGCCATTCCATGACTAAAGGGAGTGATGAGATCACATGATGATGTTGAATGACATGATGAGTCTCACCTTACAAGTAGGAAGCCTCCCTAAAGTCTCAGGCTGTGGGTCAGTGATATCTTCCAGTCCTTGCGGAAGGAGACTTAGTAGAGTAACCAGGACAAGAAAGAAACAAGGGGCCATTAACTGGAGAGCAGTTGTCTTCCAGCTCCTAATCTAGTAATGTTAAAAAAAGAAGGAATGTTAATATTCTCTCTCCCTTTCTCCTTACAATGAACAACCAGTTCTTCCATAGCAAAAGACGAAGCTGCCTAAACCTTCCTGCCACTGCCATTTTTAATTTTCCACGTGTCACATGACAAGATGTGGGTGTGTCAATAAAGACTAAACTCCGGATACTTCCGTTCTCCTAGAAAAGATGGCTGCCATTCCAAAGGGCAAAGGAGTGAGTCATAGAAAATTGCTTTTTGTATAAATTTATACAAATATGATTTTGTAAAGGAAATTGGTAAAGATATGGTGGTGCTGTTTGAAGACCAACAAAAAATAAATCTTTTTGCTAAAAAGAATTCTCTTTTAAATGACATTAAAGATCAAATCACAGAGAAAGAGGTACTTATTTTGTCAATCATGTTTATTTTAAATTAAAAAAACTCTGTACATTAGAGAATATTTAAAAACGTAGAAGATGCTGCCGATGAATTGATATTATTTGATGACGACCAGATGGTTCCATATCCTTTTCATTTAGATCATCAGTAGCCAAAAAATTTCATTTTGGTTTGATATCTACTCAAATTCAATGCATGCAGTGTTTGGTTATTGTCCTTAATGGACAGTATTCTATTATACGTATGAGATAGGTGAAGTTTTTGTCTTACTCTCATTAGAAGAGGCGCAGCAAAAGTTGGAGGATTACAAGTTGGAACTGCAAAAAGAATTAGACAAATTAAAAGAACAAGTGAATCTGATGCTTGCAACCTTGAGTGTCCCACACATGCATGATCCCATGCAATGCTGACATGAACTAATTTGCTATTAATGATTTATAATTCTGTAGGCCAGCAGCATAGAAGAACTACTTTCCAAAGTCAAGTCACAGCTTTATGCAAAGTTTGGGGATAATATAAACTTGGAAGCAGACAGTTAGCAATTGTAAAAAATTAATACTTAAAAAAATTATTAGTGAAATGAAATTGCAAGGAAAACTTTTTGATTTAATCATGTTTCAATAATTATTTGTTTTCAACACTTATGCTATTGCTTTCTTTGGATGACAAGTACTATGCACTCTCCATTTTGAGTATCTTGTTGTTGTAAGTATGGCATTGCTACTTCTTCTACTAATGCACCGTCACTTAAATTCTTCTCAGACATTATATTATAGCTATGGTGAGGTGATATGGCTGATTATATTGCTGAAGCATTGGGAGTGGCTGATCTCACAGTAACAACAATAATATGAATACACTAGGTGAATGTGAACATTGAGGGGGCAAGCATGAGCCACCGATTGAAATTTTTTGACTAAGATTAAAATAAACAAATTAATTCAGCTCTTAGTTTATTTTCAATTTTTTTAAATTTTATTTTATTATTTTTTATTTCTATTTTTTTAATTAATTTTATTTTATTACTTTTTTATTTCATTTTTATTTTTGTATTTCTATTTATTTTTTAACTTCTTTAATTTTATTTTATTATTTTTTAAAATTTAATATTTATTTCTATTTTTTATTTTTAAATTTTATTTTATTATTTTTTTAATTTCATTTTTATTTCTATTTAATTTTTTATTTTTAAATTTTAATTTTATTATTTTTAATTTCATTTTTATTTCTATTTTTTATTTAGTTTTAAAAACTTTTTTATTTTTAAATTTTACTTTTATTATTTTTTTTAATTTTATTTTTTTTTCTTTAATTTAATTTAATTTTTAAATTTTATATTATTTTTTAATTTTATTTTTATTCTTTTATTTTCTATTATTTTATTTTATTTTATTTTTTTAATTTTTAAAGATATGACTAGGCTAATTTAATTTCAAAGTAGTTTTGACCACCAGTTGGTTCATACAGATGTTTCTCGCCTATTTAGTAGGCCTCACTTTTGCTCACCCCAATTAAACAATGAATTGCTCTCTTTTATCATGCGCCACAAGCAATACACACAATCAAATGTTGCTATATAATTTAAACTATAAAAAATACTATAATTTATAGTTTGTTAGTTATCAAGCAAAATATGTGTATGTGATGAAGATAGATCTATTATCTCAGATGTTCTAAATATGAAGCCTCTCCTGAACAAGAGATCGGAGTGTGTTGTAGTTTTTGCTTATTTGAGCCACTTCTTGCGAATGACGCTCCTTGGTTTCAGCTAGTTCCTGCCCTAGCCTATGATTACTTGATACAAGAGATCTAAGAGGAAGAGAAGAGAGGAATAAGCATTATTGCTGTCTCTTATACTCTTACTTGTGACTTTCCTGGAGCATTACAACTACTGACTGAAGCTGAGACGAGTGAGAGAGAAGTTGAGAGAGAGAGTGAGAGACCTGAGACAAAGTCTCCTTGATGCCATCCTGCTGATTAACTATATTACCTAACAATAGAAAGAATAGCAGTCATAAACCTAGTCCCACGTACTTAGAACAACATTCATATCACTAGTAGGAGGAATGCCAGCTTTATTTGAAACATAAGACTTAAAATCTTTTTGTGGTTGTGTTTCCCTCAAAACTGCATTCTCGTCCAAAAGTGCTTGACATTGTTTCTGTAGCTCTACCTAAATGAATAAATTCGCATAAGCACCTAGTGAAAAAAAAAAATCAAATTATTGTCCATATACCATGTCTTTGTGTGCTGCTTGAAGAAGCTCCTTTTCTGGTCTTTCTTCAAGTAATCTAACCCTTTCTCTTAACCTTAGAATTTCTCTCTCCTTATCATCAAGTAGTTCGTCCTAATTCAGTTTATACTTTATAGTAATAAGCTAGCAGTAATGCCTGTTATAAAGCATTTCTACTTTGGTTTGCAGTCCTGTCTCGGTCTTGGGGGTATCCATTGGAGCAGTGGGATGAGGTGTAAAGTGATAGCCAGGTTGCCGATGAGTATCAGTTGGAGGTGAATTCATCCTAAAAATAAACAACTTAAATTAGTGAAGAGCAAATTTTGTTATAAAGAAAGTCATTTCCCACAGGATTTTAGCATAGTGCTCATGCAGCTTCTTGTCAGTGGATTGTCAAGCTGCTCAAAAATCAGGCCAACGACCCTGTACAGGGTATTTGACAAAAATCACAAGGAGAGCATTCTGCATTTTTATAATTTTTTCTGATACATAAACATGTCCTTACATTGTGTAGAAAGTTTGAATTGATTCGAATCAAATTTGAATTTTTTTAATGAATTTTCAAAATTGTTCCAAATGCAATTGTACTTGTAGTGCTAATAGCTCATGAAGCTCATGCTGTTTAGCTCACTTGGCATGCTTTGTGTAAATCCCTGTCCATACTTACTGTTTTCCAGTTGGTTTTTTCCTTTTTTCTGGAGATGGTGTTGTAGCTTTGAGTATCTTTCTTCTCAAAGGTTGAGAGGGAAGAGAGTGAGTAGGAGTATGTCCAGTTGTAAACAGGTGATCTCCTCTCTCAGCAAAAAGCTTAAGTAGCTCTTCAGTATCAGTTCCAAGACCTGAAACAATAGGAAATATGATAAATGTTATATACTGCAGATTAAAAGAAATTAAATACTCTATAGTCCCTAAGCATAGGCCCTTACCTGATCTAAGAGGAGCAATAGATTGAGTGAGAGCCATTCTTGCTTGAACATGACTATTATTTTAAAAATAAAATAAAAAATTATTATTATTGCAGATGATTACTTTGTTTTTGGTGTTGAGTCTTTAACTGGTGGCGTATTCTCTTTCTGTATGCTCCTGTCAAGCTCATATGCCTTAAGTATAGTATAGTGGATGTAGTAAGAAGAAAGATACTGGAGTACCTGGTCAGTGTCAAAGTACTGGAGAGCTGCCTTTCTTTCTTCATCTGTGACCTTTCTATCATCTATTAGAGAGTCAATCAATTAGTAAATTAGCCATAACATAACCACTAGTAGTTATCTTACCTAGGATTTGAAGACGGAGTAACATGTGAATTATGAAGAGCCTGTAATCAGGACTTGACTGAGTAACTGGATTAAGCCGAATATCAATCTCCTGTTACGTTAAACAAAGAATGAGAGCAACTCACTATGGATTTATAAATATGCTACCAAGCGTCTCATACCTTTAAATGAGTGTTGTGACGAAGACGAAAAACTTCCTTGAGGTCTGGGACATTATTGTAATAAATATTCAACGTCTCGAGACCTTTTAAGTGATCAAGACCCTAAAACATGTACAAGCATGAGACATAATGATACAGTAATGTATACTTCAAGTGACTCCAGAGCATTCCTTGATAAATCTAAATGTTTGAGGCGAGTGAATGCTAACAATGAGCGGCCCAAATGAGTTATTTTCTGGTGATAAGTGCCGGGGAGTGTCAGAGAGCGAACAACATCTGCATAAAATTAAATAGATAATTATAGCTTTTCAATATCTTTCCTTTACCTAAACAGTCTATTTTAAGATTTAGTTTTTCCTTTATCCATTTTTCTGTTATCACCAGGCTTCCCGCCATTGTTACCTTTCAAAATGAGGGTTAAAATATTAAAGAAAAATCTACAAGTTCGGAAAATATCCGGAAAATCAAAATTTCCTAAATGTCTGCAACAAGTAAAATGAAACTTTCTGACTCTTTTATTTATTTTTCTTAAAGGAATTCTGTCTTCGTTGAGCAAAGTATTTTACCCTGCGTCCATAAGAGTGTCTGCTATGTCCACAGCAGGAGAAACAAACGCTTTGCCAGAGTATGAGACCCTTAGCCTCTCCTCACCTCAAGAGTATGTCGTTCAAGTTGAGCTAAACAGGCCGGAGAGGAGAAATGCAATGAACAAAACCTTTTTTAGGTAAGAAGGAACTCACGTGACATTGACATACCTATAGGGTATCCTTTTTAAAAGGTGTAAACAAAAAATTTTCTTTTCATGATGCCTGTAGGGAAATGATAGAGTGTTTTGCTGCTCTCAACAAGGATAGTAATTGTCGCAGTATTGTACTCAGTGGAGCTGGGAAATCCTTCACAGCTGGTAACTCCATGCAAGTGCAGAGATCCGTCCTATATATATTTTATAATGTGTAGGTCTTGATCTTAATGATGCTGCCTCTGATTTGTTCTCAAGTGAGCATCAGTCAGATCCAGGAAGGCAAGCTTTCAACTTCAGAGAAAATTTTTTAATGCCCTACCAGCAGTCAATCACCTGTGTTGAAAAGGTATAAATTAAAATAAAAAATAAAGGACTGTTTTTACTCCTTCTTTCCTTCCAGTGTAAAAAGCCAGTCATAGTAGCAGTACATGGTGCTTGTGTAGGCGGAGGAATTGATCTCATCACGGCTTGTGACATACGACTATGCAGCTCTGACACTTTCTTCCAAATAAAGGTATCATATATTCTCCTACTTTTCATTCCACGTACACATAAAGGAGGTAGACATTGGCCTAGCAGCAGATATTGGTACACTGCAAAGGCTCCCAAAGATTGTCGGTTGCGAAAGGTAAGATGATGATGAGCTTGACTTCTTTATTTCTTTCCCAATTCAAAAGTTTAGTGAGAGAGCTGGTGTTCACTGCACGCAAGTTTAGCTCAGAAGAGGCAGTTGCAATGAAACTAGTGAGGTAAGCAATAAAGACTTAACAGTGATGAAACAATGATGGCCATCAGTCATGTGTATCCTGATCGACCTGCTCTGATTGAAGCTGCTGTGAAGATGGCGTCACTCATCGCAAGCAAGAGTCCAGTTGCTGTCCAAGTCTCAAAAATTAATCTCAACTATTCACGTGATCACACAGTTGATGAGTCTCTGGATTATATGGTGAGTTTACTGGGTAAACAAGTTTGGATCTCTTGTATGTGTATCAATAAAATTTTAAAATGGAGAATTCTCTCAGTTATTTTTGACATGCATATGGCCCGAGACCATTTTTGAGTAACTTTATAAATTCATAACAAATCCAATTTTGATCAGAACCAGCTCAAACTTTCTACAGAACTTGAGAACATGTATATGTATCATTTAAAATTATAAAAATGAAGATTTCTCTCCTAGTTATTTTTGTCAAAATTTGGTCTGATACCATGTACAGGGATTTGGCCCAATTTTTGACACCAAAAATGTATTGTAATTTCTTTTTATAATTGTGAATCTTGTATAGGCGACTTGGAACATGTGTATGCTACAAAGTGAAGATCTCCTCAAAGCAGTGCAAGGCCAATTGCAAAAAGAAACACCAAAATTCTCCAAACTGTGACAGCCAAGAGAAAAGTTATTATTATGACAATTAATTAAAATCGCAAACACAATATCAAAAATAACATCAATAATATTAATAATAATAATAAGAGAGAGATGGGAGGGGCATGTTTTGTATAACGACAATAATAACAACAAAAGCAAAAGAGAACCAACCGCTTCCTCCAAACAAACAAAATCCTAATAGTAATCAACAACAACAACAATGCCTATAAGAAACAAACACAATTATCTAGCTCTCTTCACTCTCTCTATTCTGTCCTTTCCTAGTTGTCCTCTGAGCCACTCCCACTCCCGCTATCGGCATACGGCATTTCACTGTGGAGAGTCTTGAATATGTCCGACATCTGGGACCAGCAGGAGTTAGGGATGTTGATGTGTGTCCGTCTGGTTGGGAGTAACTATTTGTGAATATAAGTGAGAAAAGAAGTTAAATATAATACGAATTGCAAGTTGAGAAGAAAATTAAAAGTCAACCACGTTTTAAAATATAAGACAAATGGATTCTATAAATGCAAATCCACTTTTTAACAATGTCTTAGTTTCTAACCTCAGTCAAGCGAAGGAAGACGCCTCTATCATTGCGTTCAACATCAAAATAAAAAGTCTTGCTCCCAGCTCTGACTTCATGCGAACCAGGCAAAGGTGGTTGAGAGTTCTGTGGAGATCCTGAGAGATACAAAAAAAGAAAGTGTATGGAGAGACTGAGGTACTACTACTAGTGACACATACTTGGAGGTGAGGAGTCATCCTGAGAGTGAGACGTGCCAAATTTGTCTAACATGTTTAGAAAATGTTCTTCAACCTTTTCCAGGATCTCTGCTGGAATCAGCACAAACTTCCTCATAGTAGGCGTAGCCTGCGTGACCTTCAAGTAGCACCCCATAGAGTTTTGACGCAGATCAACATAAAACCTTCTCTTTCCTTGATTAAATGACTCACTAGAAAAAGTTAATCCAGTAAAAAGCTACAATACGTTAAAATTGCATGCAAATTTGTGCTAGCAACATTTTGGTTAGATTGTAAATGACAATTCTTAATAGGAAGCATAGAAAATGACACAGAAAGTCAAAGCCCAATCAATACCAGTCTATTGTAACAAGAAAGACAAAACATCCACCCCACCCCCAATGAACCAATTGAAATAATTACTTACGAATAATGTCTCTGTGCATTATTATCATCTTCTGTAGATACTGGGGAAAGTGTCTTGTACTTCTCAATAACCTCTGCGAGGTGACGCTTGAAGGATGGGGCCGTTTCGACAGAAAATATAATATGACCGCTACCTTTTCTTTCTCTCTTTTGCTATGTATTAAAAGAAATAAATTTATATGAATTTCTGAAATCTGTGACTTTTGTTACCTCAATCAGCTTAAAGAAGCGTCCCTGGTCATTTGATTTTACGGAAATTGTAATAGTCTTGTTCTCTGCCTCAATTTCATGCGATTCCAGATCCTCTGAATTTATAGGAGAAATTATAAGTATGAGTTACGCCCACATAATTACAATGAACCACGCCCACTCCAACCGTTTACAATTTGCAAACAATAACTTTACACTATAGCCTCACCAGTATTAGTTGGTAGAGGATCTCTACGTGGACGGTACTCACGATATCCTCCTCCGCCCCCGCGACCACCTCTTCTTCCTCCCCTTCCCCTGCCTCTCCATCCGCCGCCCCCTCCACGTCCAGAGCTAGCCATTTTGTCTCCTTAACTGTCTTTCTCCTTCACTTTTCACGCACTAGCCTGAACTCTCTCTTTTCAGCTCTTCCTGCACTGCAGCACTGCCACCCTTTCTCCCTTCTTTTCACTCTCACATGTGCTTTGCACGTGATCTCCTGCCGCTCTAACCAAAACGAGCATGCGCAGAATACGTATCTACACTCCCGCTAGAAATAACCACGTGGACATCAAATACTTTGTAGCTTTTTAAAATGCTTTTAAAAGATCTTGTTTTGAACTGTAAACGCATAGTAGGGCTGTGTTAATACAGCTATGGTACTGCATTTAGTGAAAAAGAAGTATTTTCTATAGATTTGCCTATGTCTTTTCTCTTCTTGTCCTCCATTTTGATTTCGATATTACAAGCCCCTCCCCCCGGAGGATCCACTGAGCCACACCCTGCAATTAGCTGCTAGCTTAGCTGCCAAGGGCGAGTTTTTCTCTGTCGGCTCGTGTTTGTTTCTTGTTCCTGGTTATATCCCTAGCTTTAAAAGACATGGCCACAGGAGGAGATTCTAGCATTGTAACAACTCAGCCAAAGTCTCGCCGAAGGGAAATCGAGGAATTTGTTCGTGACCTTGACCCGCTACAGGTCGCAGGTCAGTCAGTTAGTCGTCATTTCATTAAGCTCAGGGGCATTTTAGTTACATTGTTAATCGCTTGGTAGATTCGTGAGCTTGCTATGTGCTAGCATTAAAACTTTTACATGATAAATCTAGTCATTAAAATAAGAATATTATTATCATTATTATTATTATCTATCTACACACACTGTCATTAAAATTGGAGCAGCTAGTTAAGCATGTTCATGTAATGTAATTAAAACTTTCTCTTTTTGCCGAGTTGTGTGTGAATTAAGCCTCCTTTCACGGTTTGCTAGTGATAATATTAAACTATGTGTGGGCGGTTGTTATGCGGTTATAGTTCTTGTTCCAATTTCCCTTGCTAGCCCACATATAATACACACATATATCCTCAATTTCACCATGGTCTCATGATTCTCATTTGAAATTTGCTTTTCATAGATTGGTCTGAAGCTGATGTTGTTGAGCGATTCCTCAAACCCGTTGGAATGGAGTTCATGGCCAAAGCTTTTATGGAGAACAAGATCAGTGGGCCAGTATTAATAGCACTGTCTGAAGACCACATGAAAGAGATGGGCTGTGCTGTACTTGGTAAGCATGTGGCCTTTTTCTCCTTGTAAATGTGTACTAATTTGAACTGGAGCGTGGAATTAATTGTTTATTTTGGTGTTGTGGTCATTATGTTGGTATAGTTTACAAATGTTGGCATCATGTTTATATTATGATTACAATTCTGTTATCATTCTTACTCTTGCTCTTCCTTTCTTTTTCAGGTGATAGGATACTCTTCATGGAATACTTGCAACTCCTTAAAAAGCATAAGCGTGATGCCGATCGCAGCCGGGCATTGTGGAGTGGTACCACTCCTGTCTTGAAATGTGCTTATAGTCGAAACTGTGGAGAATTCATGTTCCACGTAAGCCCCCAATCTTTCTTATAAAGGGAAAAGAAACAGCTTTTATTGCAAGCCTTAAATCAGAAATTGTATGCCATGGCGACTAATTACTATCAATGGAATGTTTTCAAAATATAAAACCAGCATGCCTTTGATCATATGCACTTATAATGTATAAATATAATATTTCCACAGTTGTGTTGCCCCTGCTGTGTGCCTACCACTGAATGGCGTATAACTGGACAAGGTATTCGCTGGAGGAGAAACAGGGCAGCCATTAACTGCTGTGGAGATGGTATGATTATAACTTTATGTTCCGGTATTGTTTGATCCTCTTCCTTCTCCTTAGTTGAAACTCAGTTTATTGACTATCGTTTCTTGAAAGATCTTGAGCTCCGAAAGGAGCCGAAATGTTGCTGTTTCTGCGTTGGTAAAGAGCTTCTCATTTATGCTGATGACAAAGATGCTACTGCGTGAGTAATAAAAATTTTTGTGGTTGATAATGCAATTAAGAATTGTTTATAATTGCATGTATGAGGCATAGTTATTGGGCCTTGGTGTACACAATGTGGTTCGAGCCTCTTTAGAGTGCACAGGATTTTACTGTTGTTGAATCTTTCCTACTTTCCTCGTTATTGTTAAAGGCTTCATTATGTCACTTCCTATCATCAAAGTTATCTTTTTTACATTTGTCAAATAGCTATAATAGTTATTATTACTATTATTAGATATTATTAGCTACACTAACAGTTGTCCCAAGAACGTGTTGATATTGTGACAGTAATGCTCACTAGGAGTCTTTTACTACACTATAGACACTTGCAATGAAATGCTTAGATCGGCTACTTGTTGGGCTGATGAATAATATTAAATTAAACTACATTTAATTATTATTTTTAAAATTTTTTGCAGTGTCAGGCAGTCCAAATCAACTGGTGGTCCTGAAGTTGATGCTGAGCCTGTCTCAATCTTGCATCCTGAAGTTGAGAAGGCAGAGTCACTCATACGTAATGCTTGGGCAGACTCTAAACTGGTTGCTGATTAAAGGTAACCTTTATTCATGACACTCATGCTCTCTTAATTCAGAGACGTGATGCTATAAGCTTGTTTGTATAATATGAAGTGATAAATTTATTTTTCAATTAATTTCCTTGTAGATATAGCTGCTCCTGGTATTTATGCAATCTAATGTAAGCCGTAAAGAACTCACCAAATTAAATTAAAAGGAGTATTAGTGCTTCGTTGATTAATTATATATTAGGACTTGCACCTTTTTTATCGTTTCCAAGCAATAACAATAATAATTTTATTATTGTACTTATTAGTTTTGTAATTTTCATCTTGTTGAAAATGAATATGTTTAAATAATAAATTTTGCTGAGGTAAAGAAAAGGAACTGCCTAGTAGTCAGCAATTGACCAATTGCATCATCATCATGCATGCGTAGAATCAACTTTGTACTATACTAGACTTTACAATGATGTAGGCCGGGCTAGTTATTGATTAAGATTCCCCCTCTAGCAGCTACATACAGTGGAGTGTGTGCTGTGCTCTACTGTTGCCTGTTTCTGCAACATAGTAACAACTGAGCAGCCTCGTTTTACTTTTTTCTTAATACGGAGAGGTCCTTCAAACTACTGGAGCTTCGCGTCTTCTTTGTTAGCTAGACAGCCCCTAGTTGCGCCCAGAAAGGGAGGGTGCCCTGATTCACTCTCTTCCCAATCCCTCTTCTTCTCTCTCTCTCTCGTACACACAAGCCTGTGTGGGAGGAAAAGTGGCGTGCTCTGTTTTGTCTGGACAAGAGCTACAGCTACTTAGTCTCTCAAACTGCCTGTTCCTTTCACTCTCTTATACTAGAGCATTATTAACAAGGTGAGAGAATTTCTGAGGTTGAGTGTGTGTTTGTATTATTATTATTATTATTATTGAAAGAGAGAAAATGAAAGAGATATGAAGTAAAAATGACAATGAAGAGAAGAGCACGAGAGGAGAAAATATTTTCTGTGGTTGTTAACTTAGTGGAATTTTAAGTGTCATTTACTAATGGGTACTTGGCACATACCAACTCTCTACAACATGTACAGGTAGAGAGGGACTACCTGCCCTTAATTTAAGTGTGCTTGAATCCTGTATAGCAGCAATCCAAGAGAATATAAAGATCACTATAGATTCAGTCCTAGGATTTATTTATAGAATGATCTCACCTAATCATGTATGTATAATGAATTGTATTTTAAGTGTAGCAATAAGTGGCCTGTGTGTAAATATTTCAGTTATATAAACCAATAGTCTGACAAGTAACTGCTGATGCATGTACTGTATAGCTCATGCATGTCACTCACAGTTGGCCTCCCTTTATGGGCAGGTTTAAGCTGATCACTCAATCTGTCAATGGTCAAAGGGGGCTTTAAAATGTCAAAGTTTTTTCAGGTGTTAGTTAAAAATATCATTAGATTTTTTTAGAAAATTTCCATCCCGTCAGAACATATGTGAATTCCTTTTGGTTCCATCTGTGCTATATCTTTCTGTACATGTATATCCCCCCAACTCTCTCTCTCTCTCTCTCTCTTCCTCTCTCTTCCTCTCCCTCTCCCACCCTCTCTCTCTCTCTCTCTTGTACGATATACATTGATAATGTTTCTTCCTAGTGATGGCTGCTGCAGGGAGAGCTGGTGGTCGCTCCACTAGTCTAACAGTCGCTGTTGTTGGTGTGACTAGTTCCTCGTTTCTCGGTGAGACTGATCAAGGGGAAGGAGCTGGAAAGTCATGTCTTTGCAATCGTTTCATTTGGCCTCACTCCGGTTAGCTATACAAACTTCCTTATCTCTCTCTCTCTTTCCCTTTCTCTCTTTCTCTCATTTACTATTTCTTCTTATCTCTCATTATTTTTGGATGGTTTCTCTTGATAAGTTGTTGTTCAACTAACAGTCTCTCACACACGCTCTAAATAAAAGCTGATTATGTTCATCTAGACTCTACACATTCACATTAACATCTACAAACATGGCATAGTAACTGTATACAATCTTTCTTCCCCTCCATTTCTCCCTCCTTTATTACAGATCAGTATTACGATAATCATCCCTACATTGTCAATCACAGTGAGTATGGCAACAGCATCATTAATAGTACCCATTTCCTTTACTGGGGGGAGAAGCTGACCACCCTTGAGGATGCATCAGAAGTTAGCTTTAAAGTCATAGAGCATACAGGTAAGCCTTCCCTATTGTATTTATGCTGTTATTGCAGTGTTTTATTATTATTATTATCGTAGTGTTGTTTTTGGCAGTGTATATTTTCAAATGATTTTTGTATTCATAACTCTGCTCTCTCTAATACATTTATTTGTACTTATCTATTTGGCATGATGAGACTACCTGTGTGTGCATGGATAAATATAAATACAATCAGGAGCCCCTGATACAATATGTATGCCATGTGTATGTGTACTGAGGAAATCATGAGCTTATTTAATCTTAAAGATTGTGTGGGAGTGTTACTAGTCACTACTATTGCATGATCTTATCTCGCTCTGTTTTTTCCTTATTTTCACTACGTGTATACTTTTGTATATCCCTTTCTTTCCTTTTTTAAGAATTCGTCGAAGACATGTCCTTAAAGCCTTTTCCTTCTCAGAAGGCCTACCACAAAAGGATAGCTGTTACTAAACTCCAGTCAAGTAAGTACAGTCTTCATCATGCATGCATTAATCCTCCCTCCCTCTCTCCCTCCCTCTCTCTTTCTCTCTGTCCCTCCCTCCCTCCCCCTCCCCCTCTCTCTCTCTGTCCCTCCCTCCCCCCTCTCTCCCTCCCCCTTCCTCCCTCCCTCCCTCCCCTTATCTCTTTTAGGTGGAAAGTTACAATATGTAGCTCCTAACCAGTTAACATTACCCGAAGAGTACACCAGTGTCTCAAGGTTTCCTGATAGAAATGTACAAGTTGATGCTTTCATACTTTGCATTGACTCATCTGCTCCCTTTGATCCAAAGGACATACGCTATAAAATAGCCGAGAAACTCATCACTAGCATACATGTAATGCCAATGAACGATATTATACAAACATTCTTTATTCCCCTTCCTCTCTAGTCTACAAAGAAGCCACTTGTAGTTGCTCTTACAAAATGCGATGCCTCCACTCAGGCCGACATCCACTCCATAACAGAGTCTCTCTCGAAGCTAAAGAAGGTTCCTCAAGTCGTCGAGGTCTCTTCCCACGAAGGCGTAAACGTTGACCTTTGCTTCCACTCTCTTGTTCACCTCATAGACTCTCGTAAGCCAAAGACACGTCTCCTCTCATTTGAAGAGTCCTACTCCCAAGTGAAGCAAAGGACCAAACAAAGCGAGACTGATTTCAAGGAAATGCTCTTGTCAAAGCTAACCGACTTTACTACCCCTCACCGCCAAGCTTACGAGATTGCTAAGGCTGAACCAGAGTATCATCCTGTGGCCCGTTTCAAAGGCGAGTCACGCTGTAAGAGGCTCATTGATTTAAGACTAACGGAACTACTGGAGAAACAGATAGACAAGCAGTCAGAGATATTCCTAGAGATGCTTCCACAAGCTTTTAGTGTGTTGCTTCCTTCTGTGTCTCTCACTGACACGTATGAGATGTGTGTGGAGCTAATCAAGCAGCACTCTGAGTACCTGGAGTATTTTATAGAGGTCAAGGGAGATTGGAGAGAAGACAATGAATTCTTGTTCTCCTTTCCAACTAAAATACCCACCAGCATTATAGAGAAAGAAGGTATGTATGTATGTACTAGTAGCTACATGTATGTGAATGTACATCTACTAATATCATTTTGTTTGTTTGTATTATTTTGTGTATATTTTTTCTGTGCCAACAAAATGTATACATGTATGCACACACACACTCATAGTTATTATTGAATTATGTTGTAATTAGGTAAAGAGTGTCTGGAAGGATACATCAGTAGACTCCAGTTGGAGGAGAAGAAGACTCTGGCACAGATAAAGATTAAAGAAGCACTTGAATCATGCGAAGACCTTCAGCCAGGTGCAGCATACACTTAGATACTGTTGTATCATAATTTCTTTTCTTCTTTTCCTCTTTAATGCATTAAGGTTTAAAGGCAATGGTTGCAATGGATAAGCTAGGTCTGAGAGAGTCAGCCGAGCTCCTTTCTGCCGACCTATTACAAAACATATACCACGAGAGAATGACAGTTGTAGAGCAACAGTGTTCTGTAGATATACATGAGCTCCTACTGGAGAGACTCGACCTCTTTCATGACTATACACCAGGAGCTAAGGAACTGATTGATAAACTACAAGTAAGAGAGAGAGAGAGAGAGGGAGAGGGAGAGAGAGAGAGAGAGTGACGGGAAGAGACATCGTGTATTGAATGGTACACAACTACTCACTAAACTGATAACGTGTGACTATCAAAACCATTCTGTTTATGATCTCCATTCTGTTTATGATCTTCATTCTGTTTATGATCTCACTCTTTATCTTTCCTTTTCTCTTTCTCTTGTGAAGGATGAGCCTAGAATGAAGAAGATGGAGAGTGCCCCTGTTAAAAGAGATGGTATCATTATAAAGCACATCAGTAATCTTGAAGTACTGCGTCACGGTCCCTACTACACTCCTGACATTGTGTCTAGTTTAGCTAGTGCCTCATCAAGGTTTGCATGTGTCCCTGTCTGTGTTTGTGTATTTTTCATTTCTCTTTGTTTCTGTTATTGTGCATGAATAGCATTGTGTCGTTTATGTGTTTATCAATGTCTATTTATGGTGCTTTTGTTCCATTCTCTGTTGATTATTGTTTTTGAGTATCATCCATTTGAGAATGTTTTCATTGTCTTATCCCTACCCACCACACACTTTCTTTCACTCTCTCTCTCACACCCACTCTCTCTCTCTCTCTCTCAGTATTGATTCTTATAAGTCTAATCGTGACAATAACTGGTGGTTAGATGAAAGAGAAGATGGCGAACCATTCGGCTTGGCAATCATTGCAATGGCATCAGATGAAGCAATCACTCTAAGAAGTGACATAATGGTACATAATATATACATACATTGACAGTCGTACAATATGTATATTCACTTCATTAATAATATTATGCCTAGTACATGTACATGTATGTGTATGCAATGTACATAATTATACACACACATATATACATGTACACACAATCACATTTGCACTATGTGTATGTGTGCATTTGGTGACCTCACAGTATCTAGCTGTAAAAGTATGCATAGTGGCATTGTCATCATGTCATTCCACATATCTTAAATACTTACGGGTCAACCTTCAATTCCTAGTATACAGCAATTATTGGGTTCGGCACATTTTTTATCTTACTAGAATTCTTGCGGTGGCTCTGATTTGTATGAAGCAGAACGCAAGTCGTACAAACTGGATATGATGTGCTTTAGTGGGGCACTCAACTCATTTTCAACCGGCGAATTCATTCCTCAAGGTACGTACATTATAAGTACAAAGTTGAGTAGCATATAATGGATCTCTTTCTTTCCTCTTCCTTTTTATAATTGCTTTCCCTCTCTCTCTCTCTCTTATGTCTTCATTGTCCTTTAGGTGCTGTTTTTGTTGTAACGTCCATTGAGAGTTTGGACTGGCTCAAGACATTGTGTTCTACCCATTTAGTTTCCTCCTCGTCCTCTCTAGCCAAATATCGTAGTCTACCCTGTGTAATACTAGTAGTTGATGTTGAGTCCTTTGATGGAAATAGTAGCAGGTACACGATATACAGTATTAGCACTTTACTCCATGTACATGTACATGTACAGTGTATGTATAACTATGTACTACATGTATGGATGTACATATACTTGTACATGTATGTGTATATCTTGTAGTATTTAATGGTGGTTTCTGGTCTAAGCTGCTAATTGTATTTTCCCATTTATGGGCTTTTAATTGGAAGTGATGATGATAAGTTTAGTGGTTGATATTTGTAGGCTTGCAGTTAATCCCTAGACTAGACCACTTCACAATCATCCTCTCTCTCCCTTTCTCTCCCTCTCTCTCTTTCCCCTCTCTCTCCTCCCCTCTTCCTCTGCAGTGACCTCTACAATCAAGCTAAGAGTCTAGCCAACTCACTTCAGTGTGTTATAGTTGTTACAAGACCCTCTTCACTCCCAGGGAGACTGATAACTCAAGAGCCGACAGACCATCTCCTTTCCTCTCTCTTTGACTCTGTCTCGCTCACCACTCGATTCATCAAGGAAGGGCCTAAGCTTGAGGAAGATGGACTCAAGTCAGTTGTAGTGCACGAATCATTATTGATTCATTATTGATTCACTATTGATTCATTATTGATTCATTATTGATTCGTTATTGATTCATTATTGATTCGTTATTGCAGTTTGTGTGTAGTGTATGTAGTCTGCTACTTATTGTGAAACTGGTTCATGTTATGAGTGTCTGAGTGCACCTTTTATATGTTTGGCTTCAGCATTGCTTGTTGCTAAACATTGCAGTTTATTTTGAACTTTCCTTCCTTTTCCTCTCCCTCTTTTTCCCCCTCTCCCCCCTCACCTTCTCTCTCTCTCTCACACACACACTCTCTCTCTTACTCTCTCTCTCTCTCTCTCTTACTCTCTCTATCTCTCTCTTACTCTCTCTCTCTCTCTCTCCAGTTTTTGTCTGTTCTCCCTCCCAGGTGATCCTATTGATATCCCTGGTCTCACTGATAGTCTCTATACTCAGCAGCAGCTCTCACATTATGATAGCTCAAAGAAGTTGCTGTACATGAAGATTGCACTAGAGAAGCAACACAGGATAGCCACCATGTCACTAAGCTCCACCATCAGTAAGGATTTTAAAATGGAGTGTATATACATGTACATGTACACGTACTGTAGCTTTTATAATTTTTACTTAATGCTACTCCATTTTTCTTTGTAGATTCAAAAGACTTTCGTTCCCATCCTCTTCTTGGTTTTATTATTCTTTATTCAGCTCAGAGGAAAGCCTCATTAGCTGCAGTGAAGTAAGACTCTTTAGAATATATTAAATCCTGCTCATTTTATTTTATTTTTTTATTTAGGTGGCTTCTCCCTAGGCTATCTGATATTCCTATTTTACTCATTGCCATGACAACAGACGAGCAAGCCCCATTAGTCGAGGAAGGTGAAAAGTTGTCAAAAGACTCGAAGAAAATGAAATTTGTTGTCTGTCAGAATATACTGGAGAGTGAGTTTCAAATTTAGTTTAGTTACTAATGCGATAGACGATCTCTCTCGTTAGTCTTTTACTTATAATTATTTAGTCTGACAAAAAAAAGTTTTATTTTCTTAATTTTTGACACCAGTGCATGTACATGTACTTAGGAGTTTGAACTGGTTTAATTTTTAAAATTGCTTTCAAAATTCAGCCAAGGACCCTGTACTTATAGTACAAGGTATTTGTCAAAAATTAAAACAAGAGAAGTCTCATTTTTTATATCAAATTATTGTTTACACCTACATGTACATGTAGCTTGCCCTTATCCAGTACATGTATAACTGCTTTCTCTCTCTCTTTTTCTCAGTTGGTTATATCTCAGAGTTTGTCTCAAACTGTTTCTTCAGTCGATTTACAACATGGAAGAGCCAATCACTTCCTGATGAGGTGGTTCAAAGGTACAGCAAACAATAAAAAAAATTATTACACATTATTATTATTATTATTATTATTAATTATTTGTTTTTTATTTTTAGGTTGTGCAAGCGTAAAGGCCGCCAGCTACCACAGGCTCAGCCAATCAACAGGTCATCCCACAGCTCCTCAACACTACCACACAACTTATCCAGACACTCCATTGGTAAGGGAGAGGAGAGAGAGAGAGAGAGAGAGAGAGAGAGAGTGAGAGAGAGAGAGAGAGAGAGAGTAATTGAGTGGTGACACAGTAATTGAATAAAAATGGAGGATGTTTACTACATGCTATAGGATTGCAATACGATGAGTCATTGTTGGTTGGGCTGCTTCTTTGGGAGTTTACTCTAATCTTACTATAATTTCGAGGAATGTTTGTCGACCACATGGAGAACAATGCTTTGAATTATTGTGGCCCGCCTTGTCCTATGTGGTCTTGTATTATCATTAACTCTCTCTCTCTCTCTCTTTTGTTTATGACACACAATTAGCCTTAGCTACAAACATTCACATGATAATAGTACACACACGGCTCAACTGGCAAGTACACAGAGACATTCCTTAGCAGTAATAATAAATAATAATGACTATACACCCAAAGTATAATAATGACTATACACCCAAAGTACCGGTATAATAATGACTATACACCCAAAGTATGATGGGCATGGATCAAAGACACAATACATTGGTGGATGTGTACATTAAGATTGTTTGTTATTTGTTAAAGTGGAAATATTCAACACAGCTTGCCTCACCTACTATTAAACTGAGTGCTCCCAATAGTCTAGTACCATTAGCTTACCCGTCACTCCTGTCTCTCTATAAGTGATCCTCTGTGTGTAGTCTATAGGCTCAGTTGTAGAGTGAGTCTTATCTGAGAGAGAGAGAGAGCCAGTAGTTATGCTGGCTGGTAAGCATCACAGGAGAGGACTCAAAGGCTCTTCTAATGTAGTCCTCTTGAGACAGCACTCTGATGGCCCAACTCTTGCTCCAAAATGGAAGAGATTTGCTATGATTCTTGATTGTAGTATGTGTGAGTTTTTGTAGCATTTTGGAATGAGTAATTGTTGCAAGCATGCAAGGAGTGATTTCATGTGTGTGTGTGTGTGTTGACAATATTATTGTGTACTATAGATCTTTTTTGTTATAAGATTAAAGCTTGCAGTATGACTGTACTCTACATATATCATTCATTTTAATGTCTATGGATATTTTAGTTTGTTTTCTTGCTTCTATTATTATTATTCTTCAATCTGTTTGTTACTAAAACTTTGTTATCATAAAAGACCAAGAGAGAAACAGGGCCTAGTACTGCAACACTAAATTACAATAATAATAATTATTAGTATTTATACTATTATTATTATCATTATTTCTAGCTGTCACTGGAGATGAGATAAGAACATTTGATCGTCAGTCCTTTAAATCCCCAGCAAGAGCTCCTTTAAATAATGTAAGCCACACCCATTTCAACAATTATTATGAATGAATAAATAAACGAAATTCAATTTTAGCATTTATCTCGGAATTTTTCCATGGAAGAAGAAGAAGACCCAATGTATACCTCACCTGCCGACATTAAGATGCCCTTCAGCCCTTCTCATGCAGCAGGACTGCCCTCTTCTACCTCCAGATCTCATCATCTTTCGACAGTTTTCACCACTCCAGAGAGAAAGATCTCTAATCCAGAGGCTCCGTTATCACGTACTGCTCCTATGGCCCAGTTCAATAGCTTACCTAGGAACCCACACCATCAGTTACCAGATTATGTCGTTGTCCCTGACAGTGAGGCTCTCAATAAGTTGGACACTCTCAAGAGACAGTTTAAAGGTACGAGTGGAAGAGAGTCACCGCTTGGAGGGAAAGGGTTAAAGGAAGGGAGCAGTGACTCGCTCGTCGATGAGTGTCTCTACGCTGATCCTCGTGAGACTAGCCCCGCCCATAGCCCCGCCCCCTCACCAGCTAAGAAACACTCTCAATCGTCTCTTGCTTCTTCCTTCACTCAAGCTCCCCCTCCTCCGATACCCCCCAGGGAGAAACTCTACGATCACTTGACCCCACGAAGCAAGAGAAGGCTTCAAGAGAAAGGTATCGATATATCCGAAGCTCATTTATTAGCAGGGCCTGAGTCTCTTTATTCGTTTGCTGAGGGTCCACCAATCGAAGGAAGAACATCTCCTGTTCTTGACGTGGGCACTCCTCAACTGGGTATGTACGACATGGTAGGAGAGAGTGGGGCTTCTTTGTACTCACTCGCAGGTGAAGCTGAAGTTAGTGACATTAATTCCTATCCTCGTGGCGGAGCCAGCCTAACCCCTCCTACTCAAGCTGTCTACTCTTATACCACAGTGAGTGGGCGGGAGGAGACTCCAGAGGTTTTATACGCTGAGCCTACCATACCTCGTAACTGGAGTCCCAGCCCGTCTCCGGAAAGACTCCCCCCTCCTGCTCGCCCCCCAAAACCACTCAAATCGGCCAAAGTTTTAAATACTAAAATGGGTTCAAAGCCAAGCAGAGCTGGCACCGTGAAGGAGAGGTCTCCTCCGATGCAGCAGCCGTCACCTGCTGGACCTCGTAGAGGAACCTCCCCTAATCTAATACGTCATGTGGTACCTGATGAGGAGAATCCCTCTCTCATTTATGCTATTCCCACCAAACAAACAAAAACATCACCCAAGATCTCACGCAGTTTTCACGAGGCCACACCTCCAAGTGGAGATGACTCCAATATTTACGCCATCCCTCATAAACTCACAAAAACCTCGCCTAAAGTTTCTCACACTTTTCACGAGGCCACGCCTCCCAGCGGAGATTACGAAGAGGAGGATGAAGATGACGATGATGCTCCTCCTCCTTTACCAGAGAGGAACTACAACTGGTCCGACATTGAAGTAAGTTTTAAAACCATGAAGGTTATAATAATCTTTCTCTTTGTGTTAGGATGATGATGAAGACATACTTGGTTCAGATGACGAGCTCAGTAGTCAATCATCTGATGCTATGATCTCCACAGGCTCCACCCCCTCGCCTGTTGGAATGTATGCAACTGTTTCTGAAATGAAGGGAGCTAAAGCTGCCTCTGCTACCGTAAGACGCATGCTATCCTCTTATTATAGAATAATTCTCTGTTCCTTTGTTATATTTTAAAAAATAAATACAGCTAAGTCCCCCTCCAACTGTGTATCGTTGCTCTAAAGAGATCGAAGAGATGGAGGCTATATACATGAACTTTAATCAGTTGAGACAGCTCTCTAATAAATATCCACAGGAATCCATTTATGACTCACTAGAGAAGGTACTGCTCTACTTTATGCTGACGTTATTTTTTTTCATTTATTGCTTTTATTCATTTATTCATTCATTTTATTTATTTTTTTTGATTTTGTTATTTTCTTTAGGTGACTGCATCAATCTCATCCAACCCATCAATTGTAACACACCTACCCACAACTACAATGAATGTAAGTAAAGCGTGTAAATAGTAATAGTAACACTGGAGTATTTGCAGTTTTTGTAACACTAATAATAATACTAATTGACCAGATGTCTGATATTATATTACAATTTTATAATGCTCAATCTTTTCCTCTCTCTTTCTGCTTATCCAGACAACTCCCAAGATGCCCACTTTATCAAAGAATGCCCTGAAACTTATGAAAAGTGTAAGTGTCAATGAAGATATAATCATTGTTCTGAATAATTTGATAATTGTCATTATTTGTGTAGATGGAGAAAAAGTCACAAAGAGAAGCAGAGAGACGAAGAAGAAAAGAAGCAAAACGTCGCAAGAAAGAAGAAGAGGAAGCAAGGAAGAACCAGAAAGCGCTGAAGAAAGTTAGCTACGTTTTGTATTAAATAATATTTTTGATTCGTATAAAATTTAGGGAAAGAAAGTGAAGGGCAAGGCACAGAGAAAGCGTTATTTTGAATCTCCACTGTCAAGCATTGTAGAAGAAGACGGAGTACCAAAACTAGTTAAAGAATGCGCTGCATTCATTGAGAAAGAAGGACTCACAGCTGAAGGTATATACAGGGTGTCTGGAAAGAAAGAAGACATTATGGTATTTCAGGAAAAATATGATCAAGGTATAAAAATATAATGTGTAGTTTGAAGACTTTGCATATTCACTGAGATTATGTTTCTAAATTTTACATCTCGTGTTGCATGTGCTTGTAGATCCAAGTATTCCTATTGAGAATGCCAATTTATGCGTTAACACAATCTCTGGCATCATGAAGAACTTCTTCAAGTTGCTGCCCGACCCTCTCATCCCCGAGTCTGTTCTACCTGACCTGCTGGACATACCAGGTATTGAATCACTGCTCTCTTCTGTTTTGATGTCCCTCTCTCTCTCTCTCTCTTTATTAACGTATCTCTCTTTTAGGTCGGGACCCACAAGTCCAGAAGCAGCGTATGCAGGAAGTTCTCTCTAAGCTACCGAAGGACAACATAGCCACTCTAACGGCTCTTGTTAAACACTTGCATGTCGTCCAGTTGCATCATGACGTGAACAAAATGACTGCCAGTAATCTATCGATAGTTTTCTGGCCTACGCTCATGAGGCCTCCACTAATGGACTTGGCTAATCCAGAAAAACAGCTTGGGTTTCAGCTATCAATGTCTAAATTGATCGAAAACCCCGATTTCGTCCCAGAAATAAATTGATGTTTATCTGCTTAAATGTCCCTCCTCTTCCTCTATGATTCTATGATTGATATTATATAGTGTTATTATCATTGTTATTATTCTTGTTGTTATTATTATGCGATGCACATTAATAGCTGTAGAATGTTGACAAATATTTTTAAATTTCACAAGCTATTGTTATTATTAATTTTGATTTTTAAATCACAAATTTAATTGGTATAATAAATAATAAATAATAAGATAACATTAATCAAGAGTACTCTTGCATTAATTGATGGAGCACGGCTCAGTGCATGCATGGAGTGCACACGGCACAGTGCACACAGTACAGAGGTGAGGCATAAGATTTCCGGTTGAATTAAAATTGTTTATCTCCTATTCTCCTTTTTAACCACAGAGACCAGAGCTAAAACCTCAATTTTCAGATTTCTGCTTTTATCTTTACAACGCCAAGGAGAGTACATAAAAGAACGTAAAAGGATTAGCAAAATGAGCAAGTTTGGAGGAGCTCCCAAGTGTCCAATATGTAACAAGAGCGTCTACATGTCCGAGGAGGTGGTAGCTGAGGGATATAAATGGCACAAAAATTGCTTCAAATGCTCCAGTTGTAACAAAATGTTGGACTCGTAAGTTTCTAATCATTTTTTAAGTCAAAAAGTCCTATAATTGATTATGCTGAGGTCTCTCTCCTCTCATAATTAATTACAATGATATTCTATCATTGCCACATAACTCCCCTTTCCTCTCTGCAGTAGCAACATGGCAGCTCACAGGAACGAAGGAAAAGAGGTTCCATCTCTCTTTTGCTCTCATTGTCACCGCAAGACTCATGATATTCACAAAATAGCTGCACCGACAACTGCAGGTATGATGCGATCCTTGCACATTTGTAGCAAGCCCTTATTTGGCAAATGATTCACTGCTCTGGAATTTCCTTACATTTTTGTTTACATGAAAGCTGGTATCTTGACCTTATTTGGGCATTGCTCTACTTGTAATGTGTTTGCTTTGAAAACATGATTAGACATCAAATAATATAATAATTATGCATTATTATGGCCTTTTATTCATTATAGCTTCTGTCGGTGGGCCTAATGCTTGTGGTAGATGCAACAAAACAGTGTATGCTGCAGAGAAAGTTGTTGCTGCTGGAAAGGTAGGATTCTACAGTGATTGGATATTATATTAATATTATTCTTTCTCATAGCCCTGGCACAAGAGTTGCTTCAACTGTGCAGAATGTAATAAGAAATTGGAATCTACGACAGTGACTGATAATGAAGGAGAAATCTATTGTAAAGGTAACAAGGGGTTCATAGTTATGCTTTTTGCTTCGTTCAAATTGCCAAATGTATAACATAATTATATTATGTTACCTTTAGGTTGTTATGGGGCAAAATTTGGACCAAAAGGATTTGGATATGGAGGAGGTGCAGGTGCTCTCACTCGCACTCAATAGATGAAGCACTTTTTAAACTGTTTACCTTTTTGTTCGACTTTTGTCATTATTATTGCTAGAGATTTTGTCATTCTTCCATTTTAAAAATATTACATTCTACATAGTATAAGTAAAGAACCGTCAATTATGATAATAAAATTGGAGATTTATAACAGCCCAAGTAGTCTATAAAAAATATTGCTTGTATCTTGTAAAAAAAACTTGTTTGTACTTGTAGATGTTAAGTTGTTAACAGAGGTGTTAACAGCTAACAAGACTTGTTATTTATTGGGATGGGTCATGGGCGTTCCGCTGGTCGAAATTAACATTAATAAAACCGTACAAAATGGCAGAAGGAGGTAAGTCGACAAAGAATCTAATTTTATCATTTCATTATTCTATTCTAACACACAGACGGTGCATTCTATGGCGCCTTTGCCTCTAAACTAGGCTCTGGAATGGCTAAAGTTGGTAAAAAGGCAGCACAGTCCGAAGCAGGTCGTTCAGCGACTAGGGCCGCCGTGAAAGGAGCGACCGATGCGGCCGTGAGTGATTTATCAGACCGTTACTTGGGTCCTAAACCCGGTGAGCCAGCCCCTGGTCCTTTGCCCAAACAAACTCACTCAAAACAAAAACCAACTCAGAAACAAGCGCCACCCAAACCCTCCGCTGCCCCCACACCTCGCGCTACATATCGTCAACAAGACAGCGATGAAGAGTTCGAAGATCACATGAGAAAGATGAAACATCATGAAGCCCCGCCCAAACCATCCGTCTTCAAGCGTTTCAAACCTAGCATCAATTTATCCAAATCTTCTGAAGATCATCGTCAAAGGTCTCCTCGTTCAGTACCTAAACCAAGAAACAAGGTATACAAGTACGTCTTGTCTAAGGAACCGGATTGGGAGCAGTCCATCCGAGCTGTAGCTCTTCATAACTTCAAGAGTGATCTTAAGTGTGATCTCGAGTTCTGCAAAGGACAGTGGATCGATGTGATCACTCGTACGGAAAGTGATTTTGATTGGTGGGAGGGACGTATTGGAGATCGTGTTGGTATCTTCCCAGCAAATTATGTCAGAGTGTCTTAGAAACTATATATATTATTATAACTAATAATACTTCACTTCGTCCTTATTTGGAATTTTTATTATGTCAGTAATCATGTCTCTATAATCATTATTCATTTTGTTATAATTGCATTTTTTTGTGTAATAAGACAGAACTATTATTAATTGTCAAATTTTACAGCAGTGATAATCATGTTTTTTATGGCAGTACCAGATATTTTGCACATAATTATTATTATATAATACAATCATTCTTGCACACAAAAGATGACAATTAAAGCAAAACAATAATAAGTATTACTATAATATGAAAGTCACACAATTAACAAACAGTAGCAGTGTCATGTTATTATAAACTAATTCCAGGACTCTATTAATTGGTCTAAGTCTCGTATTGGTATCAAAGGGAGGGATATGGACCAGATCATCTTCATACCACAATAAGGACAATCATTAGCTATCAACTGATCCAACTGGTGCTGAAGGTATTAATAGCATTGGTCAAGTAAATGGAATTTTAAATCATATTACCTTGCTAGTTTCTCTTTCTTTCAAATCTCTTGATTCTTCTGCCAAATGTATTAGTGAGTTCATCCGACGACTAAAGTATAAATTTAAAAAAATTCATAAAAAATCCAATTTTGATCGGAATCGATTCAAACTTGAGATATAAGGTTAGAACATGTACATGTATATGTATAAGAAAAAATTATAAAAATGAAGAATTGTCTCCTTTTTATTTTTGGTGAAATTTGGCCAAAATCCATGTACTATAGTACAGGGACGCTGGCCAGATTTTGGAGCAACTTTAAAAATTCATAAAAAATTTAAATTTGATCGGAATCAGTCCAAACTTGATATACAACATCAGAACATGTATATGCATAAAACAAAATTTTTAAAATGGAGAATTCTCTCCTTTTCATTTTTGGCGAAATTTGGCCAAAATCCATGTACTAGGTATAGCAAGGCTGTAAAAGTCGTGGCAGCCATTTTGTTTGGGGGTGAATCCTACTTAGTAATGCTACCGTGTTACTAATTATAATAGTACAGGGACTTTGGCCAGATTTTGTGGAGCAACTTTAAAAATTCATAAAAAATTTAAACAAACTTGATATACAACATCAGAACATGTATATGCATAAGACAAAATTATAAAATGGAGAATTCTCTCCTTTTCAATTTTGGCAAAATTTGGCCAAACAGGGACTTTGGCCAGATTTTGGAGCAACTTTTATAAATTTTTGCAAAAAATCTAATTTTGATAATTATTAGCTCAAAGTTTCTATGTAATACAAGATCATCTTAATGAGTGTTCTTACGTCTCGTTAGCAGAGAGAGTAGATGCTATGACATCGGTGAGACAATCACGATGGAAAGTGTGACGACAAGGGAACATGTAGAAAGCACGCGAGAGCAACCGACCCTGACACACGTTACACTTTTCACTCGACTTGATAAGAACGGACCTGAAATGAAGACAATGAAGGGGAGACGGGTAAGAAAAAAAGGTGTCTAACTTGTTACGTATTTCTTGAATGTCTGAGCGAATGTTTCTAGCACTCTCAGTGGCTCCTTGCATTTCTTTCTTGAGCTGCTCAATGTGTGAGTTGTACTCTTGCAATGAGTCACATATGGCATCCTAGAGGAGGAGGAGGAGATACGAGTGAAGGTGTAGGAGCAGCTGTGCTGTCTAGCTACCTTGAATTGATCGATGGTGACAACATCAGAAAAGAAAGGGAGAATGTCTTCAATTTTGAGGACATTGCAATCCTTTAGAAACTGCATCGCCCTACAAATTAATTAGTAAACTCCGACCTACACTAACAATACAACCAAGCATAGGGCAAATTACAGTACACCACTAATGACATGCCTCAGTATATTCTAGTATATTATTAGCATACCCTTTAATGTCTTTCTTTTCTTTGATGACATGCTGGGCAATCATTAGCCAGAGCTTCTTCTGTAGCTGTGTGTCTTTTCTAACCATTGCATTCTCATTGATGATAGTACGAGCAAGAGTAACCTCGTTACACTGTCAAACAAAGAGAGACAAAAGGAAGACTCTCTATCTCCTCTTGTTCCCCCTTACCTTTAAAGCCAGTGATACAGACTCCTCATAAAGGCCCATTGCAGAGTATATGTAGACACAAGGGACGTTGAGTCGGCCATTATCCAAACACAGTCTCAGAGCATAGTGGGGGTCATAAAGAGGAGCAAAACCACTCTGCAATAAGTAGTAGTACATTCACAATAACATTGAGCATATTTTAAAATGACTAGCTCAAGCTTCAAAACAACTATTTCTTACTTTTGATTGGTTGATGAGGTACTCCCTAAGCTTACGATGGTCAGTCCCTTCCTTGCTATTGGCGTAAGAGGAAATGAGGAAATTGTGAACTGACATGACTTCAGACTGGAGTGAGTTCACACAATGCTCAAGATAAATGATAGCAGCTGCATTCTATTAGCATCGTATTACAAATACAAATATGTACATGTAACTCATTTAAAATGTTGTATGAACCTGTTCATCTTGAAGAGCTTCATCTGTCTGTCGTGGTTGTATCAGTGAGGGGATGAGTTTCTTTGGATCGAGATACCTTCCTGCTGCTATCCAGCTCTGAACTGTCTTCATTGGTATGTGCTTCACAAAAACTGGAGAGAACTTGTAATAGAAACCGGCAAACTTCTGAAACAGTATCTTCCTTTCATTCTGCAATAAAATTGCACTAGGAATAATTTATGCTATTTTTTGCAAAACATATATAGTGTGAAGGTTAATTCTTGAAATTTTGCATACCATGTGACTGTCATGTGGTTCCCTACCTTTTCTGGATGATGGAGGGCCATGGCTGCCTGCTCTGTGAGTATATCAAGAGCATCTTCATATTTGTACTGCTGTATGTAATGAGTTATCACCTTATCGTAATCTGAGGGAGGAGAGGAGGATGAAAATCAGAAATAAAGATACTGAAATAAGAATTGACAATCATCAATTCTCAATGCAATACTCTCTATACATTACATTGCTATTGTTTGAGGACAGCACAAATTCAATTTCAATGATGTTACAAGTGTAAGTACATGTACATGCATGCATGTGTATGCATAATGTAATAAATGATTGGGCCCCTTTACCTCTCATTGTTTTAGCAAAGTATATGATGTCATCTGTCGATCCATGACTTGCCATCAGATCATAAATTGTCCTGCTATTATCGCTAAAACATTTCTAGAATAGAAAAAGAGTAGATAGAAATTCAGAGATACATGCATTGTATACGTAACGTTCAAATAAAATAGTGAATATTACTTTAAGCTCTGGCAGGTCAAGAAAGTCATGAAACTCTTTCTGGAGTCTGAGGTAAGCTTCCATGTTTCTCTCGTCGCTGAGGTTCCCTAACTCATTGAGGTATAGCTCTGTCAGCCAAGTACTGAGCATTGTCCTCTGGGTGAGGTCTTTAGGAGAGAGTAAGGCTAATTTACGCTTCAAGAATAACTTGAGGGCTTCCTTCTTGTTGATCTAACAAGGAGAGAGGGAGGGGAGAGGGAGAGGAGAGAGGGAGGGGAGAGAGGAAGGGGAGAGGGAGGAGAGAGGGGAGAGGGGAGAGAGGGAGAGGAGAGAGGGAGGGCAGAGGGAGGGCAGAGGGAGAGACGGAGGAGAGGGAGAGGAGAGACGGAGGAGAGACGGAGGGTGGTAGATTAGAAACAGGTGCATAGGCCCACCATGCTGTACCTGCATGAACTTGAGAGTAACCTGCTCAAATGACAAACGACTTCTAGAGAAAACAATGGCAGCATCTTCATACCTATACAGTACATGTATCAGTGCAAGGTTACTATTGTACTGGTTTACCTTCCTTTAGTGAAGTAATGCTCAGCTTGTCTTATCAATATGGAGTCAAGGTTCTGTTGATCATCCTAATGTATAAATAAAAGTAATAACAAGTTCTCTCTCTCTCCTTCCCTCTCTCTCTCTCTCATACTAACAGCTGCATATTTCTGTGCAAGGTCAAACTTTTCCTGATCAAGATAAATCTTCCAAACATTCCTAATAATAAAAATAAAAAATAATATTATAATCATAACACATTATACCTTGATTCGGCATGAGGTGAGTACATCATTAAATTCATCTTAGCATTAGTCCAAATATTACGAGTTACAGGATCAGTAGACATAGCAAGCAATGGACCATTCCTCTGTACAATAGAGAGAGTAATGAGAGAGTTATACATGTACATATACATGTACATGTATATGTACACTACAAAGTACATGTACTCACTCTTGCGTTAAATGGCTCCTCAAAAACCTTCTTATTGTTGAGGTGACATATAGCAACAATTCTAAGGAAGAAAGACATGCTAATTGAGTGTGGATCTTCTCCTTACTTGTCTCTGTATAGCAGGACACAGTGAAATTTGGTCAATGCTAGCCCAATGGGTAGAACAAGGTCGGATTGATCCCATTCAATTACTATATCTTCCCCAGTCTCAGCCACTGCTGAATAACTATCACATTATGTCAAGGAAGAATAACACAACAGTAGTACATGTACATGCATGTACAGTACACATGTATATTCATAAATGCACATGTACATGTACATGTAAGTGTCTGTGTATAAAAAATATAAGTATGAATACGGTATGAGGTTTTTCTCAAGGAAGAGTGTCTCTCCTGGCTGCTGGTCCCCAAACACTAGAGTGCTATAGTACACGCCTGCTCCGGTGAGCCAAGCAAAGGCTATAGGGGGCTCTGGCGAGTGAGGAGGCCAGACACATAGTTTACTGTCCTTGAGTGACCCAGGGATCTCTTGAAATTGAACTGTAGAGTAAGAGGAGAGGAAAAAGGAGATAAAAACACTAATATATTATGTATTATTGCTATTATGCAACTAGGAAACATTATGATCGTTATTAGGCATTATAATTCTATCAATAGTGTTCAATAAATCAGTAAACTCAATACCTTTCACTTGATCGTTATAAAATGAGAATAGTTCCATAAACTGAGGCTCATTCTTAGTATTGATATGTCCAATGAACTGGTACACCCGACACGGAGTTGTTGCTAGTATATACCATTTGTCATTGTACTTTGGGAACGGCTCCATCAGCAGACCTGGATAAAAAAACAATGTGAACCTTTTAACATAAAGAGCAGCAAAAGCAAAAATTATTGCACGTGCAGAAAATTTATAATTGTATACCAATTTTACTTAAAAGTACATGTAATTGAAATTTTCTCTTTCAAAAAGCTCAACCAACTTTTATTGCATTTTCAATTTCAAGTTTTGAGTCGCATTATTTATACATCAATTTCCACAACAATTCTCTCTCTCTCTCTCTCTCTCTTACCAGTGACTGATTCCGCTGATCCTGTCATGTCAGGCATCAGTTGATACAATTCGGTACAACTGCTCCTCTTAGAATCAACCTGTACCTGTGCCTCACATATCACACCTACACACACACACACACACACACACAGACACACATGTATATAAATAAAGCATTAGATATCCCCTCCTGATCCCATTACCATTATTAGTGCCCAGTAGTATAGCCCCAGTGCTGTGTTCTGAAATCTCCAGTTTATTCCAAGCAACACTCTCCACAAGATGACCTTTGAGCCTTGGCTGGAGGCGTGGCTGGGTTTTCTTGACCCCACCCCTTGCAATGTGGTACATCTCCTTTGACTCCATGCAGACGAGGAGATGATGTGACTTTGGATCTTGGAACATCTTATGAATCCTCACATCGTCATCTCTCTTAATCTCACACACTGAGAATAATAAGAGAAATAAAGCATAAGAGCATCTTTAGCTTACTCTCTGGAGGCTTAGCTTCCTTAAGATCAAACCTATATATAGTGTTGCCCAATACAGCGACCGTGAGGAGATTATTACTGACAACGACATGAGTGATGTGACTAGGAATGCTGAGAAAAAAGCATAATAATATAATGATAGACCAGTCAAATTACAAACCGGATCCGTGTGATGTCCTGTCGTCTCAGTATTGGGTACTCTTGTGCCTTCCTTTCTACTGGTTTCTAAGAGAAAGAGAGAGTTTATATGTAGTGGGTGTGGCTCATGGTCTCACCTCTTGTGATTGTTGACGGTATGTTCCTCCCTCTACCACCACGTCTCCAAAAGGATTGACTCCTCCGCCTAGAGATCTCTCTCTTCTCTGTCCCTCCAGACCTCCCATTCCTCCTCCCGCCCCTCCGATGCTGCTGTAGTCGTCGAAACGAGACAGTAGATCCTCTGCCATTTTGAAAGGGGCGGGTCTAATAATCTAAAAATTTAATTTAACCCCCTACCCCTGTGCAAAATTAAAAACCGTACACTCCCGTTTACTTTGATTCGTAAACTATTCTAAAATCAGAAATTCAGAATCAGCTGCAACTAACAATAATTATTATTATTATTTTATTTATTTTTTAGGTTTTATATATAGTCATGGCAAATGTACTGAGGCTCTTTTCACTCTCTTCTAGTCTCCTAAAATTCTCTCAAAGGTCATTCCTCTCTCCTCATTTGAGTATACGATTGCAATCAGTTCCCAAGCACTCCTTCTCTTCCTCAGTCTCCTCCTGTCTGGCTGTATCTCAAACATTATTTAAATCAATCCGACTCCCTTTTCTATTAGTTCCTCTTGGTCTGTTCTCTCGCGGTTGCTCCAGCAGTATTATTGCTCAGTGTCGATCGAAAGGTTCTTCGAGGGTTTCACTTTTAAGAACTCGGCACCTTTCAAACGAGCGAGGCTTCGGCTCGCCTAGTTTTGATTGGCTGTCCTTTTGGAACATATTAGCACCGGATATCCTTATCCTCCTATTGGCTGCAATGGTGATTAATTAATAATCATTATGTATATGTGCAGCTAAGAATCATTATTATACGTTAATTGTAAAATTTGTATTAATTTTGCTAGAGTGCTGTTGTGGTTGCTTTTCTTAATGTCCGTATTCCTCTTACGCTTGGTGAGCTCATTAATGTCATATCTGGAATGACTACTGGTAAAAAGGCTGGTCAGTATCTCTCTGAGCTTGTCAGGCCTGGATTGAGTCTCGCTGGTTAGTTAAAATTTGTACCATTAAAAGTCCTTTTACATGTACTTCTGCTAGCATAGACTATGGCCCATGGTTTTTCCTGAAAAATGGCTCCAAAATCACTTCCAATTTTTATTACATTTTTTTGATAAATATTGATGTTCTTTTGTTATGTAGAAAGTTTGAGGTGAGTCTGATAAAAAATTTTGAGTTATGGCCATTTTAAAAATGAGCGAATTTCTGAAAAATACCCAAGGCTATAGCCCATGGTTTTTTCTAAAAAATGGCTCCGAATCACTTCAAATTTTTATTGAATTTTCTGATACATATTGATGTCCTTATGGTGTATAGAAAATTTGAGCGAATTTCGATAAGAAATTTTCAAGTTATGACCAATTTTTAAAATGGGCCAATTTTTGAAAAATACCCAAGGCTATAGCCCATGGTTTTTTCCAAAAAATGGCTCCGAAATCACTTCAAATTTTTATTGAATTTTAAAATACATATTGATGTCCTTATGGTGTGTAGAAAGTTTGAGCGAATTTCGATAAGAAATTTTTGAGTTATGACCAATTTTTAAAATGGGCCAATTTTTGAAAAATACCCAAGGCTATTATAGCCCATGGTTTTTCCAAAAAATGGCTCCAAAATCACCCAAAATTTTTATTAACTTTTCGGATACATATTGATGTCCTTATGCTGTGTAGAAAGTTTGAGTCGATTTTGACTTATCTTTTTCAAGTTATGGCCATTTTATAATTTCTCTCTTTACACTAGGCCTGTATGTATTGCAAAGCTTATTCACATTCGGTTACATTTCTCTTCTCTCAATTGTTGGGGAGAGGTGTGCACTCCGTCTAAGGACTCAACTCTTTCAGTCTCTCCTTGAACAAGACATTGCTTTCTTTGACACACACAAGACAGGAGAACTAGTGAACAGGTCAGCCATACTACACACATAGAAACCAATAACATCCATTAAAAGAATACTGTTAAAGCATAAAAAGATAATATAATATGGCCACAATCAGTCTTGGCTTGCGATAAAATATAATATTTGTATTCACAGGCTTTCTGGTGATGTTCAAGACTTCAAGAGTTCTTTTAAGATGGTTGTCGGTCAAGGGCTTAAGAGTGTTACCCAGACTGCTGGCTGTGTCATTTCACTATTCATAATTTCACCAAAGGTAAGGCATCATATTGTTTATGCCTTATTTCCTTACTAAAAGCTGCACTGACATTGTATAGTAGTTCTTATCTTAATAAAAGTTTTGTTTTACTCTATTACATCTATTTTTATTGTCTCACAATAATCATCAATTTGCAGATGACTATGCTGGTAGGTGTTGTTGTACCAGCAATGATTGGTGTGGGTACTGTACTTGGGAGAATATTGAGAGGATGGTCATATGAAGCACAGGAACAAGTCAGTATAATACTCAAATAAATATATACATGTGCAATTGTGCATATACTATTAATGTAGTAATAGTTGCATTAACCTACTGTAGCTCTTGTTTATATTCTTTATTATTGTATACCTGTTCAATGTTAGTTTTGTTTAGGTTTCAATGGCGACTGCCGTAGCTGATGAAGCTTTGAGTAACATTCGTACAGTGAGAGCATTTGCAATGGAAGATAAAGAACTGAGGTAGAGAGGAGGAGGAGAGGGGGGAAATCTGTTGATGTAAATCCTTTTATAGTTTATACGAACGTGAGCTAGTGCAGGCCAGTTGGTTCAATCAAAGATTAGGCTTTGGGATTGCTGGCTTTCAAGGACTAACCAATCTAGCCATCAATGGTACACCCAACTATCATTATTTTTTAAAATCTATTACTATTATTATTACTATTATTTTTTTAACCAGGTATGGTACTGGTAGTATTGTCACATGGTGGCCTGTTACTGGCGTCCAATCAGATCACTCCTGGTTCTTTGATGTCATTTCTTGTTGCCACTCAGACAATACAGCGTAGCCTCGGCCAGCTCTCAATCCTCTTTGGTCAAGTTGTGAAAGGAATGACTGCTGGAAGTCGTGTGTTTGAAGTAAATATTTTTAAAAACTGCATGAGCTCTACTTGTATTCATTGGTACTATGTTGCTAGTACATTGATATGCCACACTCTATTCCAGTCTCTGGAGGGGCTGTCATATCTGCAGATAAACTTGTTGGTGAAGTTGAGTTTAGAAATGTTTCATTCTCTTATCCGTCTCGATCAGAACAAGTAAGCATCAACTTAAAATATAATACAAACAAATTGAAACTAAGCAGTAACAGCTTTGTAGTAATAATTGCATCCTTGCCAATAGTGTTTGTATAATTACTAATAATTAGTTATTTATAATTTTAGCACTAATTGGCTCTGTTTTATAGAAAGTCCTTGATGATTTCAATATTTCACTATCGGCTGGTAAAGTAATGGCACTTTGTGGCTTATCTGGTGCAGGTATGGCCTCGCTTCTTCTTTAATTTCTAAATCCACTCAGTCAGAAGATGATCATTCTCATATCCAATCTCTCACATACACACTTCATTGTTACCTTTTCTTTTAGGGAAATCAACTGTAGCTGTTCTATTAGAAAGATTTTATGATCCTGAGCTTGGAGGAATATATATTGATGGGAGGTATAAATTTGCATTAGTAAATATTATTTTACATTATGATGCGTAGGGATTTACGTAGCTTAGATCCACAGTGGGTAAGAGGGTCACTCATTGGCTACATTAATCAAGAGCCTATTCTCTTTGCTACCAGCATTATTGAGAATATAAGATATGGTAAACCTTCTGCTACAGACAGTGAGGTTGGTGGTATTAATCCCCTGCTTTATTGCATGTTTTGTTTTGTTTCAGGTATATGAAGCAGCTAAATTGGCCAATGCTGATGAATTCATTTCCAAGTTCCCTGCTGGGTATAGGACAATAGTAGGAGAGAGAGGAGTGACACTCTCTGGTGGACAAAAGCAAAGGTACACATACATCATGTACTTGCTTTTATGATTGCATACACTGCTGTCTATCTTTCTTCTCATGCTTTACATTGTACAGAGTAGCTATAGCTAGAGCATTATTAAAAGACCCCCAAGTCCTGATACTTGATGAAGCAACGAGTGCATTAGATGCGCAGTCGGAGAAACTAGTACAAGAGGCATTAGACAGAGTTTCAAAAGGTGAGGGTACTACATGCATTAATACCATGTACTCTTGAATATAGATTGTTTCTACATGAAGTATGTGTATTTTATTGCTTCTGCTAGGTCGTACTGTACTGGTAATAGCTCACAGATTGAGCACCATACAAGATGCTGATACCATTGCTGTTGTACATCAAGGAAAGATCAGAGAGGTACGTTATAAGAAATATGCAATTTAAAGATATTGACATGCTGTATTATTTTAGACTGGAAGTCACAGCTCCTTGTTGAGACAAAAAGGACTCTATTATGAATTGGTCAGAAGGCAGACGGACATTTTAACTAGCAAAGAGTGACAAAAAAGAAAATAGTATAATTATTATGTACATTTTTAATAGCAGTGTTATTATAATAATAGATAAAAAATAAAATAGATAAAAAATATAATTATGTTTACAATAAACAGAATAATAAGAGAATTCGAATTTAATTTAGTCATCGTCATGGGTGGGGCCTTAGTCTTCATGATTATGATGATATGACTTCTGCGATGCTAGTTTGTTGTTGATTCTTCTGACCGCTATTGATATAAAAAGGATATAGTCTCTTTCACTATGGCCGGGGAAATAAAGCGAGCCAGCAGCTCTAGGAAGGAAGGAGGTTCCGATCCTGTCCCAGCCGTCTGCCGCCGACCAACCACTGATCTCAAGGACGTGCAGGACATTCTCAAATCAGTAGTGAGCTCCAGCGAAGGGTAAGAGAGAGAGAGAGGGGGAGGGAGAGAATGAAAATAGATAGAAGAAAAGCAACTGTACAAATCCAGCCGTTCAAAATACTCTTGCTAGGTCATTTTATCCTACTAGACTGGGAAGAGAATGAAAATAGATAGAAGAAAGTAACTGTACAAATCCAGCCGTTCAAAATACTCTTGCTAGGTCATTTTATCCTACTAGACTGGGAAGAGAATGAAAATAGATAGAAGAAAAGTAACTGTACAAATCCAGCCGTTCAAAATACTCTTGCTAGGTCATTTTATCCTACTAGACTGGGAAGAGAATGAAAATAGATAGAAGAAAAGTAACTGTACAAATCCAGCCGTTCAAAATACTCTTGCTAGGTCATTTTATCCTACTAGACTGGGAAGAGAATGAAAATAGATAGAAGAAAAGTAACTGTACAAATCCAGCCGTTCAAAATACTCTTGCTAGGTCATTTTATCCTACTAGACTATCCAATTTGTACTAATTACAAATAGGATGGTGTGCTTGTTGAGAAGATACCAGATATCCATCTGCAGTCATTAGATATGCTCTGTTGTAGAGGGAGTTTACTTTATGTTGGGTTGTTTTGTGTTTAGTTTTGTGAGCAGACATACTTCAATAAACGAGGAAGAAGAGAAAATGTCGTCTTCCAACAACCAGTTTAATCCCCCTCCTCCACTCTTGCTCCGTCAAATAACATCGCCTGTTTCATCACAGCCTCCGCCCATTTTAAGCGACACTGACCCTCCAGCTCCAGCTCCTCATGAAAAGAGCCCACCTAGCCCAGATGACATTGATGGATCAAGAGGAGTGGAGGCTGGACAAAGGAAAGGAGCTAAACGTTCACCTTTATATGGAGAGATTATTGTATTGGGGTAAGACCCTGTAATTAGACACAGCTGATGTACATGTACTAGTCAACTTGCATCAGTTTCATGTAGTCTCAATGTCTTCATTGTCCCAAAGCATTACCTTGATAACATAACAATACTGATAACATCTACTAGTTATGTCTAAAGAGACGTTATTATTGTATTGAATGTATCCCTCTGGGTCTTGTCTTTGTTATTTTTCAAGTTGACTGACATTATACAGAATGAATTATTATCCACATGACTTAGTTGTTGATTGCTAAACAGAAGATGCTAATCATTTCCTGACTGCTAGTACATTAACATGTCCCTCTTTCCTCTCCCTCTAATTTTAGAACTAATGGCACCCTCCTCTGTGCTCCTCTTAGTCCTAAAATGTCTCACAGTTTCGTTTTAAAGAAGCAACCAAAGTCTACCGGTGTATCACTGATCGTCAGAAATCCTGGGGTAATTAGAGAGAGAGAGAGAGAGGGGAGAAAGGGAGGGGGAGAGGGGGGAGAGGAGAGAGAGACCTCGCCTCTCATGGATGCATTTTATTCTCCCGCCTACTCACTGCCTTGGTTGTAGGAGTGCATAATTATTTATAGTATTTGGAAGCAACAGAAGACTGTTAGTGTCACACCTTTACTAACAATATTTGTCTCATTGTTTTGTCATACATGTACATGTACATGTAGTTTACATTTACAATCTGTTCTCTCTTAGGATGCTGAATCTCTCTCTCGCGTTCACACCCATACTGTTGCCATGACAATGTCAAAGACAAAAACATCAGTTATGGAGTTTGGGCCAGATCCATCAGTCGACATGTTTCAGGTAAAACGAGAAACACTAACCTCGTTTAAGAAATGTCTTTCTCTTATTTTTACAGATTGGGCGATCTGCTGATTCAGCGATTGATTTTGTCGTTGTTGATACGATAGAAGAGGAAGCTGGGGAGGGAAGGAGAAGAGTCTTCAACAGCTCCAGTTCTGTTTCTAGATATTCGTGTCGTATTCTTTGTGAGAGAGAACCGCCTTACACAGCAAAGCTATATGCAGCAGCTTTTGATACTAACAGAAAAATACAACTCTCAGTAATAACTAATGTATTGTTAATTATTATACTGACTGGTGACATGTATCTATCCAAACTACCCGTTTTAATTACTCTCTTGTTTCTCTTCTCTTGTTAGGCTGCTGCTCCCACCTGGTCCGACAGTGAAACAGGCGCCACTGATGGCCTCACGACTAATGGTGTGACTTTACTGAGACCACAGGGTGTGTTTGAGTCAGGGGTGGAGCCTGGTGAGTGGAGAGAGGTGACTGTAATGGGTAACCTCAGAGAGAGGAGACCACTTCGCTCCTCAAGAGAGCCAGGCCCACCAGTAAGCTATTGGGATTATCCTGTTGATCATCATGATTACAAATATTTATAGATACTAATGGAAACAAATGTCTTGACTGATGGCTGTCTGATTGACCTCTGTGGGGTGACACTGATGTGGAGGTCAGCAATGGGGCTTGACCATGGACCAGTACGTGAAGCAATACTTGATACTGTTATAATAATACTGTTGTACTCTTTCTGCTGTAGAGTAACACTTTGATCAGAGACAGACAAACGGCTCTCAATAACATGACCCCACAGTGCCCCGTTAATTTCATGACCCTTCACTTTAAAAGTGGACGACTGGTCACTACGCCAGCGACAGAGACTGGCCTTGAAGGTGAAACACTGAGAGAGCCCTGGGTCTACATGAACTGTGGACATGTTTTCGGTCAGCACAGTTGGAAAGGACTGAAAGATGAGGACAATCATCAGAGAACTTGTCCTTTATGTAGCAAGGTGAGGAAGAGAGAAGGATTTAAAAGTAGTGGGTCTGTTTTTGGGTGTGTACAACTGTACCTAGTGTTTGCTTGTATATACACTATTTTTATTAGGTCGGTACATACACTAAGTTGGAATTAGGTAACGAGAGAGCTTTTTTCGTGGATGACGGACCACTGACACACACCTTTTCACCTTGTGGCCACGTCACGACAGAAAAAACTGCAAAGTATGTTTTTTAAAAGTATCAGAAGTACACATAATAATACTCCTTCTTTCTGTAGATATTGGTCTAAGGTGTCTTTGCCTTATCTTGCTAGTCAGTGGATTAGTTGCTGTCCATTCTGTAGCTCACATCTTTGTCCAACCAAACCACTTGTTAAACTATTCTTCAATTGATTATATTTATTTATGTTTTATCTGAAAAAAACTAAAATTGCATACACACCACCAAGAGATTTTGCTATATTAATTATTATCATTTTCCCAATAAAATTATTATTATTAAAGTCTATCCTTTTTTGTTTTTTTATTCTTTACATGATCTTCCCTCCTCTTGATGTCTGTATTGTTCTTTACGGTATTATTCTTCACAGTATCTTTTACATGATCCAAGATGGCTGTCTCGACTACTGATGCACTTCCTTCATTTTGTCCATCTTCCTTTGGTCGTCTAAAAGGATTAGCAAGCAGTGCTCTACGTGATACACGAATATGTCCTATAGAAAAGAAATCCTAACATCACATGGATAGTACATAATACTTATAAGCAAGAGTGCCAAACCCTAAATAACTATGTTCATAGCTAAGAATAAAAAAGACCTACTGTACATGTAATTTCATTAGCACATACCAAGTGGATCTCGTCCAAAATATTTAACTGTTATCTCTTGTCCTAGTTGGAGTCCCAGGTCATCAGGGTGAGAGACTAACTTGTGATCCAATTGGGCCAAGTAGACCATTGCCCTGTCTAGTGTTGGCATCATTTCAATCAGCACACCTGATGGCTTAATGTTTATTATTCTTGACTTGTACACTGCTCCAATTTCTAATTGGGCTCCAAACTCATTAGGGTCAGGGCTGGAGAGGAGTGTATTAATCTTCTCTGTTACTTCGTCCATTACTGATTGTGTTGGAGCAAACACAGACATTGTTTCCTCGTCTACTTGCTCTATACTGACGCCTGATGAGAGAGGACGGGAGAAGAGGAGGAGGAGGAGGAGGAGGAGAGAAAGGGATGATAGTATATGTACCTGTTTCTTGTATCAATGCCTTTAGTCTATGTCCTCCAGAACCGACTAGCCTATGCCTTCGTGATGAAGGGACTTGTATAATTTCTAAAAATAAAAAATAACAATTTTAATTACACTATTACTATATTGATGTCATCATGCTAGGGAAAGTTTGGCTAAGTAATGCTAAAACAATTTCTGAGCATTGGTCAAAGACCATGCCCCAAACATGTATCATAAACATGTACTTGTGTGTAGGCTGTGCTTACCATATACTGGAGTGTTTGATTTAAGCTGTTGTCTTGGTTCTGATTGACAATTGTCCATTTTATCAAGGACTCTGTGTCTGGCATCTTTAATGAGGAGAAGTGAAAGTTAATTTAAAATCAGAAATAGAGTACGGTACCTTTTGAAAGCATAAACGCATTCTCAATGATTTCATACGATAGTCCCTCGCAGTCTTTTATATCAAGCTAATAATAATAATAATAATATTAACAATAATAATAAAATACTTGAAATGATGTTATTCCATCTCTTGTTCCAGCAACCTTAAAATCCATATAGCCAGCAGCATCTTCTATACCCTACACACACACAGACACACAGTATGCCTACAGTAACACAGAGCCCATTAGCTTACAGAGAGATCACTTAAAATGGTATAATCAGCTCCGTCCATCATGAGTCCACAAGCCACACCAGCAGCTGGTTTTGCCATTGGGACTCCTGTATAATACAAATATACAAATTAATATCATAATATGTAAAATATCATAATAATACAAATAATACCACAATATGTACAGAACAGTTCACCTGCATCAAATAATGCCAGGCTACTGCCACACACTGCAGCCATTGAAGATGAGCCTGGATGAAATAATGATGAATTTAAAAACATGTTAGCTCTCTCTCCCTTTCTTACCGTTAGAGTCAGTAACCTGTGATGCTACTCTTATAACGAATGGGAAGTCGTTTGGTATGAGCGGCTTTAATCCTCTCTCGGCTAACAGGCTGTGACCGATCTCCCTCCTTCCAGTCATTAGGAATGGACCAGTGCTATTAGTAGCAAATGGTGGAAACTACACGTACAGAAATGAGGGGAGGGACGCATTCATTATTACTCAATCTTAGCTTTACCTCATAATGGAGCATGAAATTCGATGTCTTCTCAAGACTACACAGAACAATGTTAACATTTGACTCGAGTTTTGTAAGAGTGTACTTGCCCAATAATAGAAGATATCTTATCAACTTTTGAAGCTGCTTGAAGTGAGTCAAAAGTAACAGTCGAGAGCATCTGCGTCTCTCCTCTTACAAACGAAGACGAGCCATGCAACTCCTCAAATAAATCCACGTCACACTCAATCGGTCGAAGGTCATTTATACCACGTCCATCACACCTGTACCAAATATGACCATGGGATGCCTTATAAAGTGGATTGAATTCACCTGATTCTGTCATGCATTACAAGATGGTTCATTGCTTTTTTAGCAGTCGACCAGAAGGCTAGATCAGCATAGCCGGAATCATCAAGCAATACACTTCTTATGTGAGCCTTTGCTTTATCAAGCAAGGAGAATAACTGATTATCTCGACTAAGCTGAGAGAGAGAGAGAGAGGGAAAGAGTTAAGGAATATGCTTATCTTAATACTGTCATTCATTACTTTTTTGTGAGAAGTGTTACGTAATATTTCTAATATTCGATCATAGCAAAATCTAAAAAAAAAAAAAAAAAATTCTAATTATGGAATTGATTGCTTACTGGTGTACTGTGTACTCTACAGTATCTGATGGTCTTATGAGCTCTACATCTCTCAATGGTTTCTTACTATGCTTCTTAAGTGATCCGATAACTTTTAATAATGGCTGAACCTAAAATTATCAGTATAATAATCAATCATCATATTATCATTAGTGTATAAAAATACTTCTTGGATGCCAAATTGTATAGCATTACAGATCACCTCTTCTGATACTTCATTACCATAGCCTTCCAACATTACTAAAGGAGGTTTGTAAGGTGTGCAAAGTACATTCAGGCTATAAGCTAACCTATTTTTTCCTTGTTACAACTAATAATGAGATTCAATGGCGAGTCCAAAGCCTACGATACAAACCCAAAAACAATCTCTCAAATGATCTAAAAGTTGTTCACATCATACTTCTTTAGGTGACATATTTGAGACAAATTTTCTTTTTCCATCAATAATACCGACATGAACTGCAGCTGGAATTAAAAACATACGGCAAATAGTACTACTTCCATTACCACACATTGAATATAACAACTATACTAACACTAAACATCAGGACTAGCTCCTATACAACACTGGACCTACCCACTGGTCCATTCCATGGTATATCAGACAGTGTAAGAGCTGCAGACGCTCCATTGATAGACATTATACCAGTGTGGGATAAACCATCACCTTGCAATAGGTTACTTATGATCTATCATGTATTATGCGACTAGTAATAGCTATAGTAGTCATGTGACTATACCTGTGTGTCGTATGCATAGCCAGGTGGAAACAGAGGTCTGATTGAGCGATCTGAAGAGACAATCATTAATTTAAGGCAATTATGGAGTCACAATAATTTTTTGAATGGGTAGGGAGGGACCTTACCTATAAATCTACTGGCTAATATCTCTCTGTTTGACGGACGTAATTCTCTTCTGTAGGAATTCTGTGGTATTCTACTCACAGCTGATGCTCTGTCCCTGTAATCAACCTAGTTATATAACAATTAATAACAGGATGTGCTCCTGTGGATTATACTCACTGTTAATGGGACTATGTTATAGGTAGAAGAAGGTCTGGTGCTTGATACTGCTGTTACCATTAGTGATGTATTACCAGACTATAATAATAATAATAATAATAATAATAAATAATAATAATACTGGTAATGACAAAAGTATAATTAATTTGTTACATCTAAATATTTCATAATTCATTTCCCATGCAAGCAAGATTACCTTAACTACAACAGCTCCATCAGCCAAACGAGCAAACTTTCCAGCAGAAATGGTAGTGTTTCTTTAAAAAATTAACAAGTTAAAAATTATCTCGAAAATTATACAAAAACATATCACGCATTACTTTCCTCCAACAGTCGTTTCAACAGCAACTCTCCTCTCATGGTGGAGCCATCTACGATGTCTCTGTTCTGGCTTTAACTTTTGCCGAAAAAGAGTAGAACTGCTTCCTCTAAAAGTGATGTACATTAATTACACATGTAAGTTCATGTAAGTTCATGTAACACGAGAATGAGGTGGGCGTGTTTTTAAAACACACGTGGGAACATGTGCTCTAATGGGTTTAAACTTTTAATTGGGGCATATATTACCGTAGATCAGGAAATTAGTGTGGTAGAAATTTTTTGAGTTTAAAAATTGTGCTGTGATTTAATTTTTACTAAATAAGACTGTGTCATGTATTATTAAATGTGGCATGTAATTATATGGGTAATCTAATTTTTTGCAAAATTTTAATCCAGTAAAATTAAAATCATAGTAAAAATTTCCAGATAGACGGTATATCCATAAATACATCTGAAATATTCATGTGTATATGTAATTCCTTTAAATCATCACCACATTTTGGAATTCTTATTAACTAAATATTAATATGGTATACTGATGGCTGCTTGTTTTAATGGACATAAAGGTTGTTGAATCTTCTTTTATTATTTTAATACCTCTTATTAGACTGTCCTTGACAACATTTTTTGGGCATCATAGAGTGTCATGGTCAGTCATAGTATTACTTTACCTATACTGTAGATTCATGAGAAATGTTGCTTTACATGGTTCTGGTAACATCTCAGGTAACACTATAATCAAGTTTTGTGTATATTTATCAACATAATATGTACATGCTTTTTTATGGCTACTACCATAGAGTATACTGAGATTCTTGTATTGTGAGACTAGTGGCATTAGTGCATAATGACATTTGAATAAAAAATAAGTTATTTTAGATGTTTGGCTGTTAATTATTTAAGCTTGTTTTTATAGGCCAGATACAGTTCATATCCCATGTACTGACTGCACTGGAAGGAGATGAGTGAGTATCTATCACATTCACACACTCACAATGTGAGTGTGTGAATGTGACAAGTATGTCATGAAAATTATGACAATTTTATTATATCTTGTGCTGCAAAATTTCTCATAATACTAGCACCTACTCTAAATGTCCACTATATTGTATTCTATAGCATTTTGTTTGTCAATGATACCATTTTACCCATGTGCAATGCATTGTAATACTAGCTCATGGGAGTTATATAGTTAATATTTTGAAGAAATAATTTCAAAATGTGCTGACCATGTAAACAGAGCTGGCCTTGCTGTACAAACCTGCTGGTTCAGTTCTGTTTAGTAAATGTTGACACTATCAAATCAAACTACACTTAATCTTGTTAAAAAACCAAATGTTGCTTGAGTATAGTAGGTGCACTGTAGGTAGACCTTGCGGCTCCTATAATCAACTTATAGGCTGTGTGAAATACAATAGCTTTATGTATCTATGACAATAATGACAATATTAAAATAGCAAAGTTTTAGCATAATTATAAAGTTTAATTAATTGTTGTTGTGGGTTTTCATTTCTGCAAATTTAAGGGAATAATCGAGTCTCCATGGATTCCAGATAATCCCATTCCAGTTTATGATTTGTGAAGTATTTAGATATCGACCATTGAGGTGTGAAGTGAAGCAACTAGTATACCACCATGCTCCTTCATGCATATAATTAGCACAATTATCATTAGCGAATTTGTCGTTATCTTGGTCTCTTGTAGTGAATTTTGCTCCATTATGCCCAGCTAAACCATCTCCAGCTGTGCCAGCATACCCCCCTACAGTTAATGTGTATTTACTTGTACTATTACCAACACTAAATGTAGGGTAGTTAGCATAGGCTGTGTACCCCTCAAAGTCTGCCAGGTCCACTCTTAGTGTGTTTGATCCTTCTTTAGTAAGACGATGAATCTTGCTCAATCCTAACCAGAAATTACCAGTAAGGTTACCAAATCCATTCTCATAGTCAGTCCAGTATCTATAAAAATCAACAGATCCATCTTGTCTCCTCTGAAATACAGTCCATCCACCACCATCAGTCTCCATATCACAGTATACCTGTGATGCAATGTGCAATTGTGCATCATATGAATGCTTTAGCTAACTTCAAATGGAGTCCCTCCATTGGGATTAACAGTATAAACACCACTTGTAGTTACACCATTTTCAACAGCTCTTACAGTCAGCCTTGAAATCTAATTTTATAGTATCAGAATGTTTGAACTATTACCGTATATATCTGGTAATTTTGGATCGAGGTTGGCAAATAGTCGCTTAACAAATAAAACCTACTATTTTGAGCCATTATGCACATGTTCAATGACCCACCAGTCACCAAAATCACTTAAAATTTCCTCCACAAAATTACCAAATATACAGTTGGTTATTTACCTATTTGTGGACAAGCTTGTGCTCTTACATTAGGGCATATGATAATAGTCTTCCTTATTCCTTTTCTCATGCGAATAGTCTGTCCTAAGTTTGTACTGTTGCAGCATATCTGCATATACAATGATGGTTCATGTTTATATCCAGTACAATCAGTAATACGAGATCCTTCAACTTTATCAATAATAGCTATTAAAGACAGCAGCAGCAACATAGAGATGAGCATCATTGTCATTTTACTATACTGTTTGTGTGTGTCCAATAGGGACTGGAATTTAAATTGTTCACAATCTAATTTTAGATAATATAGTATAATGCATTGTAAGAAATCTGCTAAATGTAGCTGCACTGAGATCTATTCTAAGTACTGTACAATCTTCTTCAAATATTGCATTTAGACTTGTGCAATTGCTTTGCTTGCTCATACATATAGACTATAGCTTGCTTAGGCTCGCCCCTTTAATGTTTTACATTCTTCTAGTTATCAATAATTATAAGTCTTTAAGTTTGTCACTCATTGGCTTGATGGAAAGTTTGGTACTACAAGATGATGAGATAAATCTTGATCCAGCAGTTGATTTAATTGAGCTATAAAACAGAAGCAATGACACCTTTTCGCACCTCTCAATCATATCCTACATTTATATGTCTGGAGTAGCTTCTTGACTGGCTTATTGCATTCCTCCTTCTTTTGGGCCTCTTTAACTCTACAGAACACAGCTCCATATTAAGGAAATAACAGCAATAATAGCTATACATAAACACTTAGCGTGAAACATTAATTATAGATACAACTCCTCATCAAGTATAATATCCATTGCTTCTGCTGTCTTCTTCAACCAGTTCTGACTATAAGAATCCTTGCGTATTCTACAATGAGACAACATTAAATAAGAGCCAATGCATTCTGCAGGTGGACCTAACCTGTGATGATCAACATCAATCTTCTTTGCTAGTTTTAGTCTCTCTCTCAGCGGTTTCAATAATGACAAGTTGATTGGAAAGTTAGGTAAATCATTCTCTATCAAATAATAATATCACATGTGATATCACAGTGTGCCAGCCTAATACATGTACCTCTGTTTAAAGTTTGACATATGTTCTTATAGCTCTGAAGATCATCAGGTCCAATCAGCAATAGACTAGAACCACTAGCAACTCTCCCACGAGCTGTACGACCACTCCTGTGAACATATATCTGAAGAGAGGGACCAATAAAATATTAGTGTGTAAATCAGCTTTGTTACTTCGGTGCTCTTTGGCACTTGGTAATGAATAATGTGCTCAACTTGAGGTACGTCCAATCCTCTAGCAGCAACATCACTTGCTAGTAATAAACCATTAGGATCATTTGAATATCTATCCATGCATAAAAACAATATTAAAAACAAGTAAGTGGCGGTATATCAATAGGACCTTTCAAGGTTCTTAATGCGCTGCCTTTGTTGCATTCGAGCGTGCAGAGGGAGAGGAGAGAATTTCAACAGCTCCAATAAAGACTTTAAACGATTGAGACAATCAAGACTGTTAGTGAATACTAACACACGGCCAGTGTACATCAGTAGTGCATAATAGAGGTACATATCCTAGGTGTACATGTACAAACTGATGGAGTAATAGGAACATGAATAGAAAGACCTTTTCATCCGTGGTGCAGATTATTTTTGATTCTTCAATTCTTTCAACTGTCCCATGCTTATGGGTGAGATCAATTGTGACAGCAGTCTCTGATAAACCTGCCTTCAAGATGACATTTTCTACATCAAATGAGAGGAAAGCAGGCATAGGGTCAATGACATTATCAATTTTGGTATCATCCAAAATATCTAACATAAGAACATGCATTGATTTATGCATCAGAAACTACAGGGACTTTGGCCTGATTTTGGAGCAACTTTAAAATTTCATAAAAAAATCCAACTTTGATCAGAATCAGTTCAAATTTGATAAACAACATTAGAAGATGCATATGTATCAGGAAAAAATTATAAAAATGAAGAATTCTCTCTTAGCCACTTTTGATGAAATTTGGCTGAAGACCCTGTACTGTAGTACAGGGACTTTGGCTCAATTTTGGAGCAACTTTAAAAATTCATTAAAAATCCAAATTTAATCGGAATCAGCTCAAACTTGAAAAACAACATAAAAACATGTATATGTATCAGGAAAAATTATAAAAATGAAGAATTCTCTTTTAGCCACTTTTGATGAAATTTGGCCAAAGTCCCTGTACTGTAGTACAGGGACTTTGGCCAGATTTTGAAGCAACTACATGTCAAAAGCATACATGGTTATTTCTTACCAATGCTCTCTTCTCCACTCATCTTGCTCTTCCTCTTCCTACCAATCTTTCTACGTGGTAGAGTCAGAGTGGCAGAGAACACCATTGTCTGATATTTATCGCTCAGTACTTGAGACGAGAGTCTCTCTAGAATCAGTGTCAATTCACGAAAGTGTCCCTGCTCAATCATACGGTCAGCCTCATCAATGATTAAAAATCTCAACTGACTGAAATTATTGAGATGAGGACATTCCTCCTATATAAATAATAAAGTAAAATTAAATAATGATAATAATATACAGTGGAGACCTCCTTCATCATCTGCCACAATCTTCCAGGAGTACCAACGACAATCTCGGGGCATAACTTAAGCAGACGGTCCTGCTTCTCTGATGACATCCCACCCACAACAGCACAAACCTAACAAGAAATAAAACAAAATCTGACGACTAGAATATTAGACTGGTAATACTAACAATTGTATAAATAATCAAACTAACTTTAATATTAGTGTAATAAGCAGCTGCCTTGATGTGTTCCACAACCTGGAGTGCTAGCTCTCGTGTTGGCATTAAAATCAAAGCAACAAGACTTCCATTCCTATACTTTCCTGTTGCACTAGCTTCAGAAGAATCAATGGCAGGTTCTATTGCAACAGAGCTCTCCTCAATCATTGACTTAAACATCTCATCAGGTATATCATCCTCGCAATATATCAGCTTGGATTTCTTTGCCATTGATGGTTCCAATTCCCAATTATCTTCAGCTGCCTCATTCTCAGGATTAGATTCTTCATTCTCATACTCGGATTCTTCATTCTCATTCTTGTCAAGCTCAGTCTCACTCCAGTCTTCATCAAAGTCAGTACTGATGGTCACTTGATTTAAGTCAATGATGCCATCAGAATCAGGTTGTTCCTCTTGAACTTTGTTCTTGTGACTTTTCAAGACTTTATTAGTAGGAACATGATGGGTCTGCTGTCTGTTGGTTAGTATGTAGTTTAATACTGGAAGGCCAAATGCTAGCGTCTTACCAGATCCCTAATAGATGATAATAATAATAATAATAATAATAATAATAATAACAATAGAGGATATGCGTGCTAAGTATATTCATTGCAAAATAAATGTATTCATTGCATACCATAATAACTTTCAAGAAAAAAAATTAGTTCGTTGGACGTCAACTTTCCATTGGCAGCAATGGAGAAATGATAGAAAAAGGCTTGGTACCAGGAAACCGCTCTGTATTTCTTGATAGCAATCTTTCAGGTGACTACTAGACCCCATTAGATCCTCAGGATGCTTTCTAAGCTTCCGAAAAAGGCCTCAAGAAGGTAGCAAAACAAGAAAATGTGTTTTCCCCCATTGAACTCTTAATAAACTTGACGTCCAACATGGCGGCCAATTTACTGTGTGGGTTAGATATACGGTACCAAAAAGCTATGAATATACTAAGCACGCATATCCTCTATAATAATGACTATAAATACTGTCATTATAATTAATGTATATTACCGTCTCGGCAGCCCCAATAATGTCATGCTTCCCATTAATGGCTGGAGGAATTGCTTTCTGCTGTATTTCAGTTGGTGTGCTGAATCCTAGTCTATCCACTAATGATCTCACAATGGTGTCATGGAGACCGAGAGATGACCACGCCTCTCCTCCTTTTACAGCTTTTGGCTCCTCAATTGAAACGGTACTCTGAACTACCTTCTTTCTCTTTTTATGTTGCTTTTCTGCTACTTTGGCCTTTAGACGAGCCTTTAAGAGTTGCTTCTTTCTTCTCCTGAGCATTCCACACCACGTGGTTTGAAGGCGGGGTTGAATAGGCGTGGCTAAGATAAAACCCCACCTCCAAAATGGCTTGGTCAAAGTTCCTGTTTCTTATTGCTATTTTTGCTTCTAATTCTGTTGCATTGCATAAAGAAGCCACTCAACCTCAGACAAGTCACCCAAAGCTGTCAATCCTCCTTATCCACTCATTCTTTCCCTCTCACACCTTTCCCCTAATCTCTCTTGGAGCAGAGCTGGCCTCAAGGGGCCACAATGTATCTTGCTTTGGTTCTGTGACAGCAGATTTTGAAACCCGCCACAAAGAACTACTTAAATCAAATGGAATAAATTATTTGAATACTACTCTTTTTGACACGAGTATCTTTGATGAATTCAGGCAAATGACCAAAGACAATGGTACAATATTTGGAATGTTTCCTGCTATCATCAAATTTCTTAAATTATTTACATCGGAGAACTTTTATAATTGTTCTACAAATGTTAGTGGGTTTGACTATATCATAGCTGAGCAAGCTGCTGGTCCACTTCTCTATGACTTGAGTAGTAGATGGAACAACAGCAACACAATGTTACTTATACTGCAAACTGAAGTCACCCCACGCTATCTCCAAGCATGGCCTTATCCAAGGTATTTGGCACCTTTCAGTGATAACATGACATTCCTTGAGCGATTACTCAATACTGGAGTATATGTAATCACAGAACAAGTTATGTCCTGGCTCTTCCCCCTTCTAATGAGGTTTAATGGTTTAAAGAACATGCCGTCTGACTTTCTATCAATGGTAGTGTATCAACCAACACTTCACGATACTGTCATTGGACTGGATTGGCCTAAAGCTATTCTACCGTTGCAACATTATGTCGGTCCCATGTTCCTCCCTCATCCTCCTCCTCTTGAGCCTTCTCTCATCAACTGGCTTGAGAGAGAGGGAAAAGAGACAGCTCCTGTCATTGTGATCAGCATGGGCACAACTGCAGATATAACCAAAAAAATGGCAGAAGCTTTCATTTCTCTTTCTTCGGATTACAGACTTGTCTGGTCACTGCGTAAATCAAACCAACATGTATTATCTGGACTTCAAATTAACAAAAGTCTCGTACATGTAACACCTTGGCTATCCCAAATAACAATGTTAAAACATCATTCAGTTAAATTGGCTATACTTCACTGTGGACTGAATGGTGTCCATGAGTCCTTGTATAACAGAGTACCAGTGTTGTGCATACCTTATGGCATAGACCAGCATGACAATGCCTTTAAACTTAAACATTTTAAGCTAGGCCTCTCTCTCCTTCCACACGAAGTCAATAATGAGACATTAAGGAATGCTGTGACATCATTGCAAGATAAGGTTTACTATGATAATGTGAACAAGATTAGTGTTCTATTCAAAGCTGCAGGAGGAGTAAAGAGAGGAGCTGATCTAGTTGAGTTATATGCGGAGGTTGGATATGAGCATGGCCTACCCTCATTTGTGCGCTACCAATGGGGCTTCATACAGTATTACAATATTGATGTGTGGATAGTGTTGGGTCTCTTACTGATGCTATCATTCATTGGGTGCAGGAAACTATGTAAAAGATGCTGCTGCTCAAGATGTTGCATGAAGAAAGAAGTTAAAAGAAAAACAGAATAGATTGTGATGGAATTTTTTTTAATCAATTATTTTCCCTTTTTTGGTATTTTTTGAAATTTTGAAGTTTTTGAAGTGAAGATTAAACCAAAAATAGGGCTTTTAGAACAAGCAGACCTCAAGAAGAGACGCCATTGTACAATGATTATAAAAATTTCTTAAAAATAAATTATAAAAACAATCATTTGTTCTTTTTGTCTTGAATGTCTTCCTCCACTTCAGATTCTTCTTCAGTAACAGAGTCACTGTAACTTTCCTCATCCTCTCTGATTTCCTCTTCATTCCTCTCTTCTTCTTTATCCTTGGCCTTCTCCTTCTCTTTTTCTGCTTTCTTTTGCTCCTTTTCTTTCTCCCTTTCTATCTTCTTCCTCCTCAGATTCTCCCTATGCTTGGCCCTAGCTCGTGCAATAGCTTCTTTCCTTTTATGATCAAATTTTGGTCTAGTATAATAATTATATGCACACATTGAAAACCCAAATATGAACAACAAGATGGCTATCAGTGACAAGAAAGGACGATGAGAAATCATTATCTGTAAATAAATTCAAAAATTATAAAGTGAAGTATTTGCTGAGCATGTGCATAGCTCAAGTACCTGAAACAAGTTATAAAGCCACCAGTACCACTAACAAAGAGAAAGAGAGAGAGAGAGGAGATAAGTATTAGTCTTATCTCTCATCACTTACATTATATAAACTGCTCATAAAGCCTGGACCACCTTCAGCCTATTAAAAGATTCGCCAACAATTCATTTTGACATCACTTACCGTTATTTTACCAGCAGTTACTGAGTAAAGAAATGACGACACTCCTTTCTCAGTAAATGACTTTTCTTCATTCTATAACAAAAATCAAACAAGCAATGAGTACATGTACATACATTATGTAAATACATTATAAGTGAAGTAGTATCCAGTGTGATGCTCCCATACAAACAGAAAAGGAGGAGAGACAGTTGTCGAAACTATTTTCTCAATAATATCTTTATTTTCAAGAACAAGGAACTGATAGCCACTGTGAACTTTACGACTTAGAGCCACACGACGTACAGCTTCATACGCCCTTTAACAATAGATACACAAGAGTATTATGTACTCTGAAAGAAAGTAATAAAAACTTACTTCTTCTGAGGGATTGGTCTGCTTTGGTCCTCATTAACATGAAGCACTACAAGACGTTTTACTATGACAAGAAGACATATCTCTTTCTCTTCATTTAGGTAATATCTTACCAGCTCCTGTACTTGTGAAATATCTTAAAGAACTAGCATTAACAGTGGGCAGGGCAGGAAACTGCTCAGACTCCACCCACAATGTCAAGCGATACTTTGACATTGCGTCTAATGTACCATAATTATAAAAATAAAATAAAAAATTTTACTTTGATATTGATACAAGTTGTCATCCTTTAATGCCACAATGCCAGGTAATGATGATAATNTGAGCCCCTAATAAATACCCAATACAGTATACTACCTAATAACAAGATCCTTACAAGTTCGTTAGTAATATCGGGATTCGTAGTATAGAGGAACTGACCAATCAGAATCCTCTCTTGTGCCACTTGTTGATATATAGCCTAAAAGAAGTGAGTGTAGTCAATCATAGTATTCAATATAAGGCGAGTAGATGTAGATACTACACATGTGTACGGCTAACTTGCCAATCTTCATGTATTTCATGATCATGCACCAAACAGAATAGAACTTTATGTGATTTTTGAAGCTCCTTGACTTCACTGCTAGTGTTAACCTCAACCAATGGAGGACTAAATTGAATAAAAATAATAATAATAATGATAATAATACTTGCGTGTATTACAGTTACCTCATTATTCTAAGTACAAATTTAAGTAAATTTTTAAGACTAAGTTCTTCAATAAACTCGTATCTACTTCCATTCCTAAACCTAGTCAAGGACAAAAAAATGTTTTTAAAAATACAAAATTAATTTTTACATGAGTATTGTGGGTGTGGCCTTGATACGAAATGTTCTAGCAACATCTAAAAAACAAAATCATTGCATAAAATAAAGTAAAACGCAATTAAAATTACTGACTTACCACTATGAATTGATACATCAATTTGTCCGATAAACATACTAGATATGTTATGAAGATAGATCTGTTCAATAAGAGCATATAAAACTGGGCGGGCAGCACCACTGTACGAGCACCATGGAGTGTAAAACTAGCAAAAAAATTAAGACTTTACTTTACACCCACACTTAATCAGTGCTTTTAGCATTCCATAAATAGGTGGAGCTTAGCTGAATTAATTAATTAATTACCACACCCACACATAAAGAGTTAATTATTATGTTACGATTCTTACAAAAATCATTCTTGTTCCATTTTTCCATTTGGCAGGGTCCTTGATACTAAAAACATGCTAAACTCCAAGCACAAGTAAACATTTTATGCTTTACCTCGGAGCTAGCTCCGGAATTTGTGGCATTCCATTGAAAACCTCTCTCCCCTCTTCTTTCTCCTTTAAAGGTACATGATCAATGTCTCCTAGAGACCAACAAGTATGAAGGAGAAGACCTGTTGCCACTAGTAACCACATGACAAGGGCTGCGCAGGAACTTCCTGTTAGAAAGGATGTTCTCATTCTCAATGTTATTTATTAATAGTTATAAAATAAATTTTAAAAATCCTTTACAAAAATCAATAATAATAATCATTATTAAGCTCAAAATATTATCTATTGTCAATACCATGAGTAAATAATAAGAGTAATAATAATAATAAGAGTAAATAATTATGTACTCTTGTCAATACATATTGTGTATTGTATTTTTATCGATCATTGAGTCAAGTGAAGACAAACTATTCCACCACTTAAACAAAAAGCTATCACATATCAGTCTAAACCAAGGGGTTATCTTGATCACGCCTTTTTCTCCATCCTTTAGTAGCTCCTTCAGTTGATCGGGTGTGACATAACGCGTGTCCTGTACTTCGTTAGGATTAACTGATAAACTAACGTCTCTCTGAGCAAACAATATATAATCTATCTCATGTTCTCCCCAGATTTCACATGATTTTGCTCTATAAAGAATGCGAGTCAGAAACGTAAAGGATTCCAGTGGCATCTGCAAATGAAATAAAATTAATGTACATTTTGCATCTTGAAAAGTTTAGTCTCTGTCTCAAGTTAATAGTACTACTCATCATTAATATACCTCTTCCTTTGGTATTCCTAGCTCATGTGTTAGTTTCCTCTGAGCAGCTCTCTTCACTCCTAACTGCTCATCCTCCTCCAGCTCTTCAGGTCTGTACAGTGGATGGCTGCAACAGGTGTTGGTGTAATACTCAGGAAATGTAATCTTTGCTTTTGCGCGTTGCTGCAACAACAGTCGACCATTCCTATCAAACAGAAAGACACTAAATGCTCTGTGGAGCAGTCCAGATTCAATATTAGTGTTCAAGTGGCATGTTTTCTTCGATTCTGCTCCTGTCACTATGTCCTCTGGTGAAATTAGGATGCATTGCTCGGAGAGTAGCTGCAATTGAGTTGGGTCTACTCCAGTGAGGTCGGGACCACTGGAAGTTGTCATTGTTTTCCCTCTGTATAGCAATGAATATCTAACCAAGAGTGACCTGATCATTTTAAAATATCGTCAGACTATGGACTATGAATCAGGCCAGATCAAATCTCCATAATTGAGTGCCCCCCTCCTTATCCACGCCCATGACCACGCCCTACAACATGGTCACACTATCTCCATCACTAGTTTTGCAAGTTTTGAGGAATCGTTTGCTCTTGAAAGCTAGTACAAAGTAAGAACCCGATTAAAAAACACAAGCATCATTTTTGTGATTTTTTTAAAGAATAAGAGGAGATCTAGTACACAAGCCTGGCTCGTCTGTGTATGCTGGTTTTGATCCTACTAGTGATAGCCTACACGTGGGGCACCTACTAACTATTATTCCATTAATTCATTTTCAACATGCTGGATATCAACCGATTGCTGTGGTGAGATATAAAAATTAGCAAATTTATACGCTAGCAATTAATTATCATTAGTTAGGCGGGGCTACAGGTATGATAGGTGATCCTAGTGGTAGAACAAAGGATAGGGAGTCTTTGTCGACTGATTTTGTACAAGAAAATATAATCAAAATGTCCTCGATCCTTTCAACAATATTCTCAAACTCTTTGTCTCTTGTTAGTGTCACTCCAGCCCAGCCAGTGCTAAAGTAGATAAACAAAATATAATAATTATTATTATTTTATATAATAATTATTATATTCATATAGGATACTTAATAATGCTGATTGGTACAGAGATATAAATGTTATTGAGTTTTTGTCTGGTTTTGCTCGTAGCTTTCGTGTCGGAGCAATGCTGCATAAAGAAAGGTATATAGTAAATATTATTATTATTATTATTCTTGGTCATAATATTTTAGTGTTCAGCTGAGATTACAATCAGAGCATGGAATCAGTTTTGCTGAGTTCTCTTATCCTATATTCCAAGCCTATGACTTCTTTCATTTGCATCAGAATTATAAAACATGGCTACAAGTAAGACATTTATATTTTCTATTCTATCTCTTTCTTTATCAGATAGGTGGGGGAGACCAATGGGGGAACATATCCAGTGGCTGTGAACTACTGAACAAATGCACACAAGAAGACATAGAAGGTATTTCAATTGATCCCAATGCTCTTCATTTGCAGTGACTACACCAGCTCGGTCTCATCTGTAGGTTTGACAGTTCCATTACTACTATCCAGTTCAGGTGAGAAGATCAGTAAGACAGCTAACAATGCAATATGGCTCTCTCCTAATAAAACTTCGCCTTTTCAATTATACCAGGTAATAATTCATTGTAGTAGGACTTTTAATGTCACTGTTGCTGTTTCTAGTTTTTCTTACAAACACCAGATGACACTGTGCATCAGTATCTTCTTAATTTCACTTTTACATCCTTTGAAGAGATAGAAAGAATAATCTTGGATCACCTTGTATGTGGATAGCAATGAACTTATTGTGTACCTCTTCTTTCCTTAGTCCAACCCAGAGAAAAGAATAGCACAAGTGCATTTAGCAAAACAAGTTACACAGTTAGTGCATGGAGGTTAGTCTTGATATTTTGTTGCCACTTCATGCACCCATAGGGTCTTTGGCCCGATTTTTGAGCAACTTTTGAAATTTAATTTAAAAATCAATTTTGATCGTAATCAGTTGAAACTTTCTACACAGCATAAGTACATATATATGCATCAGAAAAAATTATAAAAATCAAGAATTCTCTCCGATTCATTTTTGATGAAATTTGGCCAAAATCCCTGTACTATAGTACAGGTACTTTTGCCCAATTTTTGAGCAACTTCAAAAATACTTTTAAAATCTAAATTTGATCGAAATCAGTTCAAACTTTTTACACAACAGTAGAACATGTATATGTATCAGAAACAATTATAAAAATAAGAAAATCTCTACTTTTATTTTTGACGAAATTTGGCCAAAATCCCTGTACTATAGTACAGGGACTTCGGCCTGATTTTGGAACAATTTTTAAAAATTCATTAAAAAAATCCAAATTTGATTAGAATCAGCTCAAACTTTCTACACAACATAAGAACATGTATATGTATCAGAAAAAATTATAAAAATAAAGAATTCTCTACTAGTCATTTTTGATGAAATTTGGCCAAAATCCCTGTACTATAGTACAGGGACTTTTGCTTAATTTTTGAGCAACTTCAAAAATACGTTTAAAATCTAAATTTGATCGAAATCAGTTCAAAGTTTTTACACAACATTAGAACATGTATATGCATCAGAAAAAATTATTAAAATAGAGAATTCTGTTGGAGTGATTTTTGACTAAATATCCTGTACTATATAGCCAATAGTCTTTGGCCAGACTTTGGAGCAACTTTTAAAATTTGTAATTTTGATTGGAATCAACCTGCTGTTAATTTTTTTTAGAAAGAGGATTGGAAGAAGCTCTGATAAGTACTAAAGCTCTCTTTGAAGACCAGCAATTACTTTATAGCCTCTCGCGTTAGTCCACATTCTATTTGAGTCTAAATAATTTTCTCTCTTTTTCAGGTGATAGTTTCGAAAAATTATTCAAAAGTGTACCAAGTGTTTCGCTATCTAAGGAAGAAGTTAAATCTTCAGCTGATAAACTAGTTAATGTTGTGTATCATTTGCCTGGAATTAATTCAAGAAGTTTGTCCGTTCTAATTGCTGATATTCAATGATGTCCTTTGTATAGAAAAAGCAAGAAAGCTCATAGAGAGTGGAGCATTACACATTAACTCAAAGAAAGTGGAATCAATCGATGAAAAGTGGTCACATGACACTCACGTGATACGAGACTATATCAGCGTAATCAAGATTGGTTAGTAATGTTCCTTATGTCTCAAAATCATCCCATTACTCGTAGGCAAAAAAACTGTACAGCTAATCAAGTGGACATAAGTCACGTGACAACACGTGGTTTAGCGCATGCGCATAAATTTCTGTAAAAAATCCACTCGGTTCTATATGGGCGTGTCTATGGGAGTGGTTTGGCGTCATATGATATTAAACTGTGATAGCCAATCGCCATTTAGGATTAGAGAGAAAGGAAGGCTGTAGCTGAGCTAGAAATGTCTGGTAACACTATGGACGTAAGTAGATAGCGACTGCCTTGCTCCTGTTTACTATTTTCATTCTCTAGAAAGCCATTGAATTGGCAAAGAAGGCCACGGACGCTGACGAGAACAGAGACTACGAAGAAGCGCTCCAGAACTATGAACATGCCATTCAATACTTCCTTCACGCCTTGAAATGTTTGTATTTATGTGAACCTTGTCTTTATTTCCGTCCCTTGCCCCCTAGATGAGGTTCATGGCGACAAGGCAAAAGAGAGTGTCAGGTCAAAGATCAAAAGCTACCTTGAGAGGGCAGAGAGCCTCAAAGCTCATTTAAAGAAAGAGAAAAACAAAAAGAACAAGAAGATGGTCGAGGGAGGCTCATCAAAGAAGAGCGGTGGAAAGAAAAAGCAAAGCGGGTACTAAAATATGTACACGTACATACAAGAGTCTCAATTATCAATATAATAATGGGGAGGAGTTTAGGAAATTGAAACTATTATCTTTCTTTTGTTCTGCCCCCTTACCTCTCACAGGGATAAGAAAGATGGTGGAGGAGCTAGTAAGGACAGTGGTTCAGATGACTCTGATGATGAAGACACCAAGAAAATGAAAGGACAATTACAGGGTACATAAATTAATTAATGACTTTTATTTTATTACTCCTTTTCCCTATCCCCCAGGTGCTATTGTGTCTGATAAACCTAACGTCAAATGGTCTGATGTTGCTGGTCTTGAACTAGCAAAACAAGCTCTTCAAGAGAGTGTCATTCTTCCAGTCAAGTTTCCGGAATTATTCGACGATAAATACAGAAAACCTTGGAAGGGAATACTTTTATATGGGGTAAGAAGTCTTCTATTTAATGCCCTTACTCTATTTAATGCCTCGTACAGCCTCCTGGTACTGGAAAGTCTTATCTTGCTAAGGCCGTTGCCACGGAAGCAGACTCCACCTTTTTTTCGATAAGTTCTGCTGATCTAATGAGTAAATATGTTGGTGAGAGTGAGCGACTGGTCAAACAGCTTTTTGAGATGGCACGTGATAATAAACCTGCCATCATCTTCATCGACGAAGTAGATTCAATGTGTGGCTCTCGTGACAGTGGCACTGCTAGCGAGGCGTCGAATCGTGTCAAGACAGAGTTTTTAGTCCAAATGCAAGGAGTCGGTTCAAACAATGATGGGATTTTGATCCTAGGTGCTACTAACGTCCCTTGGAAGTTAGACTCTGCCATTCGTAGGAGATTTGAGAAGAGGATATACATACCACTCCCCGATGAAAACAGCCGCAAACGACTCATAGAGCTTCATTTAGGAGACACGCCCAATGACCTCACTGACGCAGATAGAGCGAAACTTGCTAAAATGACACCAATGTATTCTGGAGCTGATATTGGTATCGCTGTAAAGGAAGCACTGATGGAGCCGATCCGATCCTTCCAAAGAGCAACTCATTTCAAATATGTGATGAACACCGTTGATGGTGTACCTTACTATGATTTTTTAACCCCTTGCAGCCCTGCTGATAAGGATGGCCGACCCATGACATGGAGAGAAGTTCCCTCTGGGAAGCTGATCCCACCCAAAGTCTCTACACGGGATTTTGAAGCTGCTTTTGGTCGCTCTAGGCCAAGTGTCAATAATGCTGATTTAGAACAGTGCGAGCAGTTCACAAAGGATTTTGGGCAAGAGGGTTGACACATAAGAGAAGGGATATTTTTATCTCCAGTTGCCCAAAGGATGCTATTTGTGTTACTAGTAACTGTAATCTCTCACTCTCTTTATTATTACCCCTCTCTCTATCTTGTCTCTTCTTTATAATCATGATAATATAATATTAGCATTAGATATGTCCTTTTATGTTAATGTGTGTATCGCAAAGTTCTTTTCATACTATAATATTGGTATTAATTATTTATCATTGTTTCCTTTACATGCATGAAAATGATGACGATGAGTTCTGGAGTTACCAGTAACTGATGATGCCCATTGTCCCTTCATTGGGTGATGCAGTTATGATCTGATTTTGGCTTGTCTCCAATAAACGAATGAGATTTTGTTGTCTGTGTACTGTATGCAGCAACTTCCCTGTCTGTTGTTAAAAAAAACAATATACATGTACACGTATTTATGCAAAAATACATTAGTACCTCTTTATTCCACACATTGATCCTCTTCCTATCTCCTCCAGATATCAAATAATTGCCTCTTAAAAGGAGACACCTCACCAGTCCTATGTGATTCTCCAATACATGTACACAGTGCCCTATTAGGAATATCATAATTAAAATCATGACATCAGCATCACATTACACCTTTATCAGCATTCCATATTCTAATTGTGCTGTCAGCTGAGGATGATGCCAGGACTGTGTCATCAGCTTGTAAGCAAAGCTTTATGTAAAGGATGAGGAGTAGACTACAGTCTAAATAGTTAACTTCATCACTCACTATTTCTTGATTGTGTCCTTTAAGACTCAGTAATAGCTGGCCAGTAACTGGTTCCCATATTTTAACAACACTGTCACCACCCCCACTTGCCAGTGTAGAGTTATTCAATATCAAAATGCACATCACACCTTCAAAAAGTTAAGCCCAACATACACTATGCAACATTTGTTACAACTTGTTGCATGCAACACAGTTTATACAGGAGTCAATGGAGCTTGCAACACGTTGCATGAAATAGGAAACAGTTCTATTTCATGCAACATGGTGCAAGCTCCATTGACTCCTGTATAAACTGTGTTGCATGCAACAATTTGCATTATTTTGTTTGCAACAAATGTTGCATAGTGTATGTCAGGCTTTACGTTGTAAACTTGTGTACACATGTTACACACAATCACCTTCTAAATGAGCTGGCAATACGTGAGTATTAGTACTAGTTGGTCCAATGCTCCATATTCTAATAGTCCCATCCCAGGAGCCTGAGTAAACACATTGCTCATTTACTAGTAAGCACTGGAGTATGTGGATCTTATGAATAATTATTAATTTTATCATTAAAAGCTCTCACTGTTATTGGTTTAGTGTGACCTTGGAGGGTATCCATTGCAATAGGGGCAGAACCTTTCTCTGTCTTCCAAACATAAATTGACCTGGAGTGGATTGGTCATATTGTATTAATGCATTGCTCACTTGCTTTACTTACTGATCGGAAGTAGCAGAGGCAAGATAAGGGCTGGCATATTCCATTCCTTCAATACCACCTTTTTTAACTTCAACTGACCACATCAACTGTCCAGAGATGAGAGAGAAGCAGCGAACTAAGCCATCAGAGCAACCACTTAGTATTGTTCCTTCCTAGTGTAGCAGCCCATATATGCTATCATGCAATTTTTGCATAATATTTACTGTAACAATGATTGTGGTGATTTCATCAGTATGTCCTTTTAGTGTTGTAGTGACCGAGAGTGACTTCAGGTTCCATATTTTACTGGAGCCATCGCGTGAGCCTGTTACCAGTACATCATCTACAATTATAGCAATTATTAATAAAATTAATAAAAGTTTGATGAATTGATGATGATTGACAACTGACTTTTAAGTGACATTGCGGTGATTGGTTCTTTATTTCCAGCATTTAGTGCACTAACACTATACAAACCTTGTGACCAATTCTGCATTAGAACAGTTGATTTCATGTATACAACCTTCCAATAGGAAAAATGAGTGTGCTTCATTATCTTTTGAACTTTGAATCTAGGAGAAGATGGGTGACAGTCCTCTTCTGATTCTGGGAATGACAATGATTGATATTGTGTATAACCTTTTGATATACAGAGCCTATGCCTGCTGGTCAGGAAAGAGCTCAGTACACTAATAGCTAGTTACTTGTATAAAGTGGTTACCATAAAAGATTGTCATTTGCTAACTCTCTATATCTACTGCAACACTGACTGATGGTGCATAGTGAAAAAGCATCAAGATAACTAAGTATATTGAGTGCAAGTGTTATTGGGAGATCAGAAATCAAATCAAAAGAGAGAAGCTCGTGGACTTTTTCACGAAGCAATCTCAAATTTTGGACCTAATCATAAATGAAATGATAATATTTATAATTATATTGATATATCTTACTTACATTTGTTCTCTTGAGCAGCTCTAATTGCAATGAAAGGACTTCATTTTGACTCAATTTCTCAACCTCTTCTAGTAACTTTGAAGATAGAGACATGCCGAGTGGGCGTTGGTAGGCTGAGCCACCCACGCAAATGAGGTTAGTTATGAGTACCAGAACAAGAGTTTATGAAAAACCTGGATTTTCTGTTACTCAAAAAATTCCCATGGACTAGAAGAAAATAAAGAGCAGTTGCCTGTAATTTGGATCAAAGGAAAGGATTAAAATAATTTTAATCTAATGTCACCAAGAGTAATACCTTTAGCTTTATTTACTTTTGATGTCAAAGTATGTAATGACACATTTGGGAGTTTTGACTCCGCCTTTAGTGTACGAAAAGTAAACGGAGAAATTCCACTTTGAATCTGATGCAACTTGACACAACGCATGCAAGGAACAAGATGGCCATGTCCATGTGTCGTGTCTTATGGAGCAATGTGTTCTCCTCCCTAGCAGCTAGCAGTACTCTCTTATCATCTTCTTCTCTCTATAGCAAACAGACCAAATTTCTGTATGGGACGAGATGGAATTCAAACGCAGTGGCGAGTGAAGCTGACACTGAAGATAAGCCAAGTTTTTCCAGCCTGGGTCTCTCGTCTTCCCTAGTAAACGATCTCTCTCGGAATGGCTACACTACACCCTTTGAGATCCAAGCCAAGACACTCCCACACACTCTAGAGGGAAAGAACCTTATCGGTCGAGCCATTACCGGCAGTGGAAAAACCCTAGCCTATGCTCTACCTATCATTAATAAACTAAGCAGTTCAAAAACAAGAGGGGTACCAAGAGCGCTAGTTCTTACTCCTACTAGAGAACTTTGTCGACAGGTCACCGAGTGTATATCCTCTTTATCATCAAACCTTCGTTGTGTTTCTTTGTATGGTGGTGCTTCGTACAGCTCCCAAGAGAGAGAGTTAAGATATGGTGCTGACGTGGTGTGTGCCACACCAGGACGTCTCAACGATCAGATCAACAGAGGCAACCTACCTCTTGATAACTTTCAAATTGTGATACTCGATGAGGCCGACGAACTCCTTACACCGAATTTCAAGATACAGATCGATGACGTTCTAGCTGACACTCCTTCCGACAAGCAAATGCTGTTGTTTTCGGCGACTATGCCACCAAACGTTAAAGAAGTGATACGTCAATACATGAAACAGTCTGTCGTCATTGATCTTACTGCCTCATCCAATCGTTTGCCTCCTGCTATAAAACACAAAGTTTTGAGATTGGATCGCGGCATGGATAAATTCGGCACCATTCTTGATCTCATTAATGTCTATTCCCCTCAGAGAGCAATCGTCTTCACTACTACCAAGATCCAGGCGAGCGATTTAGGTTCTTTCCTCTCTCGTAATGGAGTCTCGGCTACGTCTCTCCACGGCGATCTCTCCCAACAAATGAGAGAAACCTGTCTAGAGAGATTTCGGTCAGGGAAGATAAAAATTATAGCTGCCACAGATGTCGCTGCTAGAGGAATTGATATACCAGAAATTGATTTCGTCTTGCAGATTGAACCGCCTCCTAGTGGAATAGACTCTTACGTTCACCGCTCCGGGCGTACGGGAAGGAAGGGTCTCCCTGGGACCTCTATACTTCTTTTGTCTTCATCACAAGATTCACAGTATTTTTTGAGAGAACTGAAACGTGTCGTTCAAGTAGAGGAAATTAAGCGTCCTTCGCGCGATGAAGTGATCACGCGGTCGCTTGATTCTGCCGTCAAATCAATAAAAGCTAAAAAGGATGAGAAATTGATTAATGCTGCTTTACCACTAGCAGAAGAGTTGATAAGCGAAGATGGTGCTAAAGCATTGGCATCAGCTATAATCTCTATTTGTGGCATTAGAGTTTATGATAGACCAGAGTCAATGTCACGGTCCAGCAGAGAGGAATTCCGATCTCGTGACTTTGATTCCAGAAGTCGCTCTAATTTCCGTGATAGGAGAGGAGGAAGGAGAGAATTTTCTGATAGTAGATGGAACGATGAATGGTCAGATAGGAGAGGCAGCAGAAGACATAGGGATGATGGATTTAGTGGAAGAAGCAGAAGGAACAGGGGCTCTTTTGGTATTAACATAGATGATGATTGGGGAGAAGACGATGTGGGAACTGTTGAAGATGAATGGTGGGATAACAAAGGCAGTCGTAAAGGAAGACGGTTCTAAACTTATGGCACCATGCTGTAAATAGCAATGTAGATATAATGAATAATGATTATTATTTATGATTACCTTGTAAAAATCATTTAGTCTGTTACGTATCTAGTATTAAAGATAGCTCAAGGGTGTGGCTCGTTTTGCATCTAGATCTACTTCCAATTCCAAAATGAGTATCAATTCTCTCTTTATTTTTTCTCTCAGCTTTGTTGTCTCTTTCTCTCAATATCAGCCAACATGGGATTCACTTGATAAGAGGCCGTTACCAGACTGGTATGATCAAGCAAAGTTCGGGATATTCATGCACTGGGGAGTCTATTCTGTACCAAGCTTTAAATCAGCATGGTTCTGGGAGTACTGGCAGGGGCAGCAGCAACCCGCTTATGTCTCTTTCATGGAAAAGAACTATCCTCCTGGCTTTACCTATCCAGACTT